CTGCCGTGTACAGTCAATTCACTTTACAGTATATTCTGTGAAGTGCTTTGAGATGTCTCAACAACATGATAAGCCTATATCAAATGCAAGGATTATTATAATTATTAACAACAACAATTTGGATTTACACAGTGCCCTTCACACGGGTAGCATCTTGGAGCGCTTAACAGTGGCAAAGCTTGACACTGAGCTAGGGAGAGAGGGGAGGTGACTGTAGGCACGGTTAAAGAGGAAGGTCTTCAGGTATGATCTGAAGACTGAGGTGAGGCAGAGAGATTGAGGCAGAGAGTACCTGAGTTGGTTGACATGTCACCAGCCTGGCTAACATTCCAGGGCAGTGCTGGGTGGAGCACTGTATTGCCAGAGGTCTGTCCTTTCAATGAGACATTGAACTGAGGTCCCATTTGCCTGTTCCTCAGGTGGCTGTTAAAATTCCTTCACACTGTTGGAAAAGAGAAAAGGTTTTTCTCCTGGGGTCTTCACAACCAATCCTCCAGATAAATTGGCTCTTTAGCTCCTGGCTGCTGGTGGGATCTTGCTGGGTAAAGGTGACAGCTCCATTTGGTCAACAAATAAACAGTCACTGCACTTGACTACAAAGTAATAATCCTTTCATGATTTACCGCCTTATCACGTTGAAACATCTCAAACACTTCTGTAAAGTGCAGCAACTGTATATTTTGTAGGTGAACAAGGCAGTTAGTTCTGCACACAGCAATGTCACTCAGACAGCCATAGAGTGAGTGATCAATTTTATCTGGAGGATTGTCAGGAGAGGGAAACTCCTTTTTCATTCTGAATAGTGTCATAGGAGTTTTAATATCCACCTGAATAGGCACTGATGGGACCTCAGTTTAATGTCTCATCCAAATGACCACATCTCCGACAAAATGATTTGCAAGAGTACATGACATGATGCAGTGATCGCCGTTACAATTTCAATGCAGTGCTTAGAGATGTTTCGCTGTTACAGGCACCTTATATTTACATTGATATATAGCGTTGGGAGGACGTCCCAAAGTATTTGCGAGCCCTGGCTTGGCACCCGAGCTGGGGGTGAAAGTGTAAGTGGGTGTGTGTGAGGAGGGGATAGGTGACGGAGAGCTCCGTCTTCAGGCAATCCTTGAACGAGGGATGGGAGGGAGCGAGTTGGAGAGATTCTGCAATGGAATTCCAGAGATGTGAAATACAAGTGTTATTTTATTCATTATTAAGCATTGATATTAACCCTGCATTGGAAGATTCTCGCAGACAGAGTCTAATTTATGCCCAGTGTCCGTCTGGCTTTTGGGATCTTATTATTTTCACAGTAAAAAAACATTTGAACTCCTTGTGACATCTTGACCATCTGCGACCAGGGCTCCCTCTGCCTCCTCGTCCTCCTCGACCTATCAGCCGCATTTGATACGGTCGACCACGCTGTTCCTCCTCCACCGCTTGTCCTCTCACCTCAACTTCAAGGCCCAGTCCTTGAGTGGTTTAGGTCGTACCTCTCCCACCATCTTCATTTTGTTTCCACAAATGGCTTTCCCTCCAGCCCCCGCACTGTCTCGTGCGGTGTCCCTCAGGGCTCTGTCCTCGGTCCCCTCCTCTTCACCCTCTATATGCTCCCCCTTGGTGACATCATCCGCAGATATGGGGTTAACTTCCACTGTATGCGGCTGACACCCAACTCTATTTTTCCTCCTCTACCCTCAACTCCACGACCCCCGATGTCCTGACAGTCTGCCTGTCCGACATCGAGTCCTGGACGAGAGACAACTTTCTTCAGCTCAACGTGTGCAAAACCGAGGCCCTCCTGATTGGCTCATGTCAGCGCCTCCGCATCTCAGGCGCTGACAGCATCAGCATCCAAGGCTGCGCTCTCCACCTCTCAAAGCCGGTCAGGAACCTCGGCGTTCTGTTTGACCCTGAGCTGTCCTTTCTCCCTCATATCCGCGCCACAACTGGCACCGCCTTCCATCACCTCCGGAATATCGCCAGACTACGGCACTACCTCACCCCTCACTCTGCTGAAACTCTGGTCCACGCCTTTATCACCTCAAGGCTGGACTATGGGAACTCTCTCCTCCCCGGCCTTCCCGGCACCTCCCTCCACAACTGCAGGTCATTCAGAGCTCTGCAGCTCGTGTACTGTCCCGCACCAGACACCGCGACCACATCACTCCCACCCTCGCTCGCCTCCACTGGCTCCCCATCCTCAGTGCTGATAGCAGGGTTCTTCATTTCAATTAATTTACTGTGTAAATCTCTGTTTTTCTTTCAAACCATCTGTTTTTTATAGTCTGACCTTGGCAACATTGGAGGTGGTAGGTCTGTCTGGGAGGGAGCTTGTAGACATGGCAATCACAGTGTACAGCTTCATTGCTGTTATCTCATGATGGATGTAATGGATTAATGCACGGGGTTGAGTTTGGGTTTGCAGCTTGATACAGTCCACCGTGGAGTCTCTTCAACTCGCTCCCTCGCGTGTGGAGTAAGGAAACTTGCCTAAGGTTTCTCCCCACTTGGGAATCGAACCCGGATCCTCTTGCTTGCGAGTGCTCTAAAATTTATAACAGATAGACCTTTAAAGAAGACCTGAGTATTTCCAAAGGTTTGACATTTTTGAGTGCACAGCAATTGTTCCTATGACCATTAATTTTCACAATACTGTACAACTGTGCACAAATCCATAAATATCCTAACTTACAGAAGATATCCTCCTGATTTGAAAAATGCAATTTAAATATAGTTGTATTGCAATTTCCTTCCCCTTCCCCCCACTGTACCACCACTCCCCACCTACTGGCATCTTGGACCGAGAACAGTGATGTGGGCTGGGTGGGAGATTGGGGCGGGAGTCAACTCTATCCCCTATATGTTAGACATTGCTGGAGAACTGAAAGACAAGAAATTTTTGAACACAATGAGAGACTGTCTGTCAGCACAGGTAGATAGAGGGAGTACCATGTGTGGTCTCTTCACTAAAAGTTTCCATTCACTGTCAAAGCTGCTATCAACAAGTCTAACTGAAGGCTGAGAGCCATCTCAAGGGCATTTCACTATAAGACAAACAAGTGACTCTAGCCTTGTGCAGCAGATTACCAGCAGAAGGAGCTGATAGGTTCCCTCATTTTAAAGTAAAATATATATATAGAACTGAATAAGTATTTAAGGTTTCATTTGCCACATAACATTTCAAAGAGCCTCGTGGGGAATTGCTGTCAAGTGTAGTGACTGTGTATTGATAATAACAATGCTTGCATTTGATATAGCGCCTCATCACGTCATCGTGACATCTCAAAGCGCTTCATAGGATATACAGTATAAAGTGGATTGACTGTATTTGGTGGGTGAAATGCGGCAGCCAATTACACACCACAGTGTCCCACAAACAGTCGTGCGTTGAGTGACGACATTTTTTGCACGCTCGCCAATACGCTACAGGACTCCACAATTATGGAGACATTTGGGAGCTAATTACTGAACAGTGATTTTCAGTGTTGCCAGCCTGTCGCCGAATGAGTTAAGTCTGACTGTGAACCCATCGCCATTATTAATCCACCAAAGATTGTTGGACTTGTGGAATGCACAATGTCTTGCTAAGGCTAAACCAGTTTCGAACTTTTGCCGAATTCTGGACTGATATGTGATACGCTGTAAATAACTCCCCCATATTATCGTGTGGTTGATCAACTTTCACAGCCATTTCAATAGGTTACCTTGGTTACCATTCACTCTCTGAAACCACTAAAAAACCATACCTCATCCCTTCGTTACATACAACCCTGGCCTCCCAGCGAGAAATAGTTGTGAATAGCTGGAATGCCCAATTCGCCTACAAAAATATACAGTCAATTCACTTTACAGTACGTTCTATGAAGCACTTTGTACCAAATGCAAGGATTATTATTATTATTATTCTCTCAGACACCAAAATGTTACAGGCTCAGTGTGGTCAGTTTAATGGTGCAATAATTCCAATTTACAAAGCTGTGTTGTGAGCTTTGATATGGCAAACTGTGTGCAGTTTTAGTCATTAATCTTCAGCATTTACTCACACACAACCATGGCTCTTGCCAACTGACCTGCATCGGGACTTCAACTCACATAGTCTAAGCTGACACCAATGCAGTGCTGGGGGGTGTTGCATTGTCAGAGGTGCAGTCTTTCAGATGAGACATTAAACCGAGATTCAGTCTGATGTTCACGTGGACGTTAAAGATCCCATGGTACCATTCAAAAACGAAAAGGAAATTTCTCTCTCCCAGGGTCCTGGTCAACAATCCCCCAAATAAAATTGCTCATCTGTTTCATGGCGGTTTGTGGGTTACTGCTGTGTGCAACTGGCTGCTGCGTTTCACCCACAATTTACACAGTCAACCACTTTACAGTAAAAGTCCTGTGAAGGCTTTGAGACATCTTGACTGTGCAGTGTAGGTATTTTTGTGGGTGAAACATGGCAGCCGATTTACGCATGGCGACCACCCACAAAGAACCTAAACCGAGTGAACAATTTTATTTGTGTGGGGAGAGGTAGAGTGCGGAAATTGTTAATAATAATAATAATCCTTGCATTTGATATAGCGCTTTTCACGTCTTCTTGACGTCTCAAAGCGCTTCACAGAATAGACTGTAAAGTGAATTGACCGTATATTTGTGGGCAAATCCTGTTGACCAGGATACAAACACATGTTTTCTCTCATTTTAATAATCACAATCCTTGCATTTGGTATGGCGCCTTATCATGTCGGAAGGACGTCTCAAAGCACTTCACAGGATTTACTGTGAAAAGAAGTGACTGTGTATTCGTAGGCAAACACGGTGGACAGTTGCGCACAGCAGTGTCACACAAACAGTCACTCATGGAGTGAGTTTTTATCAATTTTACCAATTTTGTTTTGTATTTTTTCTTTGAAAAAAAAGAGCAATATCTTGGCAATATTTCCTACCTCAGTTTGTTGTATTTTGGGGGTTTGATTGTTTGTGTGTATGTGTGTGTGTGAGAGAGAGAGAGAGAGAGAGAGATTGAGAGTATGTGTTTGTGTTGTAAAGAGATGGAGGTTAGGACCCAGGGGTGTGGGTTTTGGGGGCTGGCACTCTGGCAGTATTTCAAGTCAGTTTCACTTTGCTTAGAAACTCTTTTGATGTGAGAGAGAGAGACAGAGAGACACGCTGGGATGTGCATGAGGGAGTGATGGAGCATCTCTCAAGTTGCAGTTAGAGTGGATACACTGCGATGGAGAGAGAGGGAGATTTGCAATTGCAGACAAGTGGTGAGAAAGAGAGGGAGAGAGATCTTAAAGATCTCTTAAAACTCGTGGTGAACCAAGAGTTGTGGTTTTAAGTCATATAAATGAATAGATGCAAACATATTAATGGGGGGGGGGGGGAATGGGGAAGTTTAATCTTATAGATATTTTAGAACAGTCTAGAATTTTGCAAATGATTTATTTGCAGAATGAAACTTGGGTGAAAGTATAATGCATGGTGGAAAGAAAAAGTGTGTGGGGAGTGGGGGGGGGGGGGGGGGGGGGGGAGGACTTTTTTCTCTCTCTTGTTTCTGTTTGTTTCCTCTTTCCTTTTTTCCCCTCTCTCTCTCTGTATCATTCTCTCACTGTTTCTTTCTCTCTCCTATTCATTTTACACAGTGCTGCCCTACCTCTTGCCTTTGAGATGTAGAGGAATTGTATCCAATTGTTTATCTCTATTTGAAATAATAATAATCCTTGCATTTGATATAGCGCTTTTTCACGTCGGGAGGCCGTCCCAAAGCGCTTCACAGAACACACTGTAAAGTGAATTGACTGTATATTTGTGGGCGAACGCGGCAGCCAATTGCGCACAGCAATGTCCCACAAACAGTCGTAGATTGAAAATGACCAATTTATTATTGTTTTTGGTTTTGGAGGGATTATTATTAGGCTCTGTGTGGAGTAAGGAAATTTGCCCAAGGTTTCGCCCTCTGCCTGGAATTGAACTCAGGTCTCTCACTTGCAAAGCGAGTGCTCTAACCACTGAGCTACAGGACTCCTCAATGTCCCATTCACTAACTGGAGCAAATTTGTTCCCCCCCCCCAAACAAAAAAAAAACCCCAATGTATTGCAAACTTCTCCCCCCAGTAGGATCACTGGGTGGCTGGAGGGAGAGACTGTAGCAAAAGAGGATGTGAAAGGATACACTCAGAGGAGAGAAAGAGTGTAACAGTATCAGTTTTAACACCTTGTCTTTGAGGAAACCACATGTTTAGGGGAAACTGGATTCATTGTATCTAATGGTGTTAAAGGTCTCACAGAGAAAGATAAGGGAGAAGGGGGAGAGAGAGAAAGAGAAAAGGGGGAGGAAGAGAGAGAGAGAGAGAGAAAGGGGAGGGAGGGAGAAAGGGAGAGAGAGAGAGAAAAAAGGGGGAGGAAGAGAGAGAAAGAGAGAAAAAGGGGAGGAAGGAAGAGATAGAGAGAGAGAAAGGGGAGGGAGGGGGAGAGAGAGAGAGAAAAGGGGAGAGAGAGAGAGAGAGAGAGAGAAAAGGGGGAGGAAGAGAGAGAGAAAATGGGGGGAGGGAGAGAAGGGGGGAGAAAGTGGGGGGGGTGGGGCAGTGTACATTTATTGCCATGTTGTGAGTGCAGAGTTTGGAAGGATTTACAGTAGTAAAGAGGAAGTTACTGTCTGAGTGTGATATCTTTCTCATTGAGGGCTGATGTGGTGTTAATGTGTGAAGCGCTCTGGGACGCTGCCCTGTGTGAGGGGCGCTATATAAATGCAACTTGTTAATGTGTGCTGGTGCTCGATGAGAGGTGTCTGGGGGCTCATTCAGGGGTCTGGGGTCCAGCGTCTTGGGACATCCTTCCGACTTGAAAGGTGCTATACAAATGTAATTTGTTGCTGTTGTTGTGCCAGGTGCCCTCTGTGACCTCAGTTTACTTGACCATAGCAGGGACGTTGAGACAGAATCAGGAATAAACTTCTTAATAGGCAACTACACAAATTATTTCCTTGAAAAGTAAAAATAATAATAATCCTTGCATTTGAAATAGTGATTTATCACATTGCTGAGACATCTCAAAGTGCTTCACAGGATATACTATATAAAGTGAATTGACTATATATTTTGTGGGCGAAACATGGCAGCCAATTGCGCACAGCAGTGTCCCACAAACAGTCATGGATGGAGTGACCAACATTTTTTTATTTATCGTTTGGAGGGATTATTACTCCTGGAAAGTAATCTGCCGATTGACTAACAACCAGGTTCCTACTTACTGCCTAAGGTTTCGCCCCCCACAGGAATCGAACCAGAATTGGAAAAAAAACTTCTTAAAAGGCAATAGACAAATTATTTCTTTGAAAATTAAATATACTGTAATAATGATCCTTACTTGTGGTATAGTGGGATGGACAGCGTAAAGTGCTTCACAGGATATACTGTAATGACTGTGTAATTTTTGCGCAAAACATGGCAGCTAATTTTTGCACAGCCCAGAGGCAATGTCCCCTGGATGAGACGTTACACTCAGTTTCTGTCTGTAGCTGTTCAGGTGGTCATTAAAGATCCTTTTCTTTAATGACTTCTTTTCGAAAAGAAAAAGGAGTTTCTCTCTCCAGGTGTCCTAGCTGACAATACCCCCAGATAAAACTGGTCACTCACTCCATGGGCTGTTTCTGGAACATTGCTATGTGCAAATAAGCTGTTGTGTTTGCCTACAAAATACACAGTCACTACACTTTACAGTATATCCAAAGAACCGCTTTGAGATATCTTCATGGTGTGATAAGACACTGTATCAAATGCAACAATTATTTTTATTACTATTAATAATATTACCCAAATCTATTCACAGTGATGGAGATTGGTGATTGCTGTGACTTGGTGTGGGTACAGTAGGTCAAAGTATAAGGGATGGGTGAGGCAGGGGGCGGGGTTTGGAGGCATTTGAGTCTCATTAAAATCAAATATAATTTTATTACAAGATGAAATTCCGCTTTCTTTTTTGATTCAGACACCCCAGCCCCAGCCATGTCTGCGAATGGATATTTCTATCAGGAAAGTGGTGAGTGGTTTCTGCTATGTTTCATGTTTTGCATAACTTAGATGCCTCAGACGTGCCTGGGAATTGTTTCCTTCTTCAGAACAGTGTGTCGCCTTGGCTCAGTGGGTAGCTCTCTCGTGTCATGGGTTCAATCCCCATATCGGGACTTTGAGTTCACAGTCCTTCTCCGGGTGTCCTGGTCAACAATCCCACAGACAAAACTGATCACTCAATCCACGACCGTTTGTGGGACACTGCTGTGCGCAATTGGCTGCCACATTTCACCCACAAAATAGTCAATTCACTTTACAGATATCTTTGAGACATCGCAACGATGTGATAAGGGGCTATATCAAATGCAAGGATTATTATTATTAGGACTGTTGACTTCAAAATGTTATGGAATGGTAAGCAGAAATTTGGGAAATAATCAAAGTCAATACTAATTGACTGTAAAGTCATGATGTGGCCGGGTATATTGGGGGAGATGGAGAGGAGGAGACCTTTCAGCCTGTCCAGCCCTATTCCTTCAGTTTATATTGCCGTTCGCCTGCAAGTACACAGTCACTGCACTTCACAGTGAAATCCCACAAAGTATTTTGAGACGTTTATTTTAGTGGTGATAGGCACATTCAAAGATGGGATTTGAGGTGAAATTTATACAGAATGAGCCTAGGAATTTGTCCGTTGGCGGAGAGTAGGTGCGCAAAAGTCTTTGGAATTCTTCAGAAGAGTTACCGCCAGAAAAAAACTAGTTACGCATAACTTAAGCTCTTTAAAGTATTTAATGGTCTGTTTTTATTGTGGGGCGTCCATAGCCTCTGGGTGGAATGTGACCTTTTATACTTTAATACTAATTTTGCTGGATTTCTATTGAGTGCAGATGAGTGTATAAACCAGGCATTGGGGACACGCTGACTGTTAACAACAGCAGCAGCAAATTATATTTCTATAGCGTCTTTCACGTCGGGAGGATGTCCCAAGGTGCTGGACAGTCAGGGATTTGAGCCCTGAGCAGGTGGTTGGATTAAAGAGTAGGGAGGGTAAGAGGGTGACTGAAGGCACAGTTGAAGAGGAAGATCTTGAGATGTACTTTCAAGGAGACAAGGGAGGGATAAGCTAGAGGGACTGTAGGATGTAGTTCCAAAGTTCTGGGAGCAGAGAGGTTGAAGGCCCGACCACCAATGGTGGGGCAGGCTGGGCCGGGTGGGTGGGTGATGTGGAGCAGGCCAAAGCCCGCTGAGCGGAGGGAGCAGACAGGTCTGTAATGGAGTGTTTGTATAAAGATAACAGATCTTTATTCCCCCCTCCCCAGGGAATCTGAGATCTGGGAATGAGGAAACCGCGGAGAGCCAAGAGAACGCCCGGGGTGAGATGCATGAGATGGTTAGCGATGATGACATCCGATTCTTTGTCAACATGAATGTCAAACTGGACACGAGCATTGATGGTATGTATGGTGCATGTTGACGTGTGTTGGTGAAGTCTGGGGGGATGGTGCTGAGTATACTCACCCACACTAAAATATACTCACACCAGTCCTCACCAGGCTCCACTGGCTCCCTATCATAGAATGGATCGATTTTGAGATCCTCTCACTCATCTACAAATCCCTTCATACCCTGGCACCTCCCTACCTCTCTGACCTACTTTCTACCCCACGCTGCGTCCGCTCAGCTAGCTCTGGCCTCCTGCTTGACCCTCATTTCCTCCGCTCCACCATCGGTGGCTGCAATTTCAGCCACTACGCCCCGAAGATTTGGAACTCTCCTGTCCAATCCCTCCACCTTTTAGATCACAACTAGAGACCTTCTTTCACTGTGTCAGACACTGTATGATGTTACATACAGTGTACCAGTTACTGTACAATTTATTTTGAACAGCCGAGTGTCTGACAAATGCAGAAAGGAATCGCCATGCTTAAGAGTATCCAAACCAAACAAGAGTTCCATGCATCCCACCTACATACAGTGTCAGTCACTGCTTGGTATATAGTGTGTAAGTCATTGCTAGATATCAGTTCAAACATATCGTTTTTATGTAAAGTTGATTCACTTTTCTTGTAAAAATTGAACTTAAAATGAGAGTTAAACACGCAGAACCATTTTGACCTGATCAGGATAATGTGGCTGTGTGTGCAGTGTGCACGCCTCTCGGGGGACGCTGGGTGCGTTGAGGAAGTTATCAAGTCTCTTTGGTTGAATTGTCTGGGCTATTGTTCATAGAATGGTCCGGTGATTTGTGTTTTTATTATAAGGGAAAGAACAGCTTGTTGGGTCGACGGATGGGGGGGAGGGGAGAGGGAGGCGGGGAAGGGTGAAATCTCTCTTGGCAACGGAGCCGATCGATTCCCCTGAGAGCTTGCTCAGTGAATGACTTCCCTGGTCAGAATGGGGACTGAACATTGCACAATGCAGGGCCATTTCCTCACATTGACTCGCGAGGCATTTCATGTCAATGCTGAGTCGCCGCCAAAACTTTGAAGTGAACGAGAGAGAGTTTCTCCTCTTCTTTTTTCCCCTTCCTCCACCCTCTTCCCTTCTTCTGTACTCCCCCGCTACCACTACCCCTCCCCTTCCCATCTAAAGGTACGGCACATTAACAAGGCTGATTGTGGTTGGGATGTGAGTGCAAAAATAAATAATAATAATAATCCTTGCATTTGATATGGCTCCTTATCATGTTGTTGAGATGTCTCAAAGCGCTTCACAGAATATACTGTAAAGTGAATTGACTGTCTGTTTTGTGGGTGAAATATAATTAAATACGATAAATAAATAATAATCTTTCCTTCTTTAGAAGACAGAAAGGAATTGCTGCCAAGTGTAGTGACTGTGTATTCTTTAGCCACCCGCAGCAGCCAATTTGCTCTCAGCAAATGTCCTACAAACGGATGAGATGAGCAACTATTTTTGTTTATCCAGGGGATGGTTGACCAGGACACCGGGGTAGGGAGACTCCTCTTTACAAGTAGTTTAATGGGATCTTTAAAGTCCACCTAAACAGGCAGAATGACCTCGGTTTTACGCCTTATCTGAAGGACGGCCTCTGTGTGCTCTGACACTACAGCATAATGCCCTCTCACCTCCAGCATTTGCTTAAGACTATTAGAAAAAGAGAAGGAAGTTTCTCTCTCCCATTGGCCAGGCTAACAAATCCCCCAGATGAAAAACCGGTCACTCAATTAATGGGTATTTGCGGGATGTGGCTGTGTGCAAATTAACTGCCAGTTTCACCCACAAATACAATTACTCTCCAATAAAATCCCACAAAGTGCTTTGAGAGATCATCCTGAAGTGATAAGGCAATGTGCCAAATGCAAGAATTTGCTTTTCAAAATCTGCTTTAAAAAAAAACTACGCTTTTCGACTATGCCTACTGGCAATTCTTTTCCCCCCCGTCACCCCCTCACCCGTGTTAAGTGCTCCCAAGACGTCACTCTGTGTGAAGGGTTCTGTGTGAACACAAGGTGTTGCTCTGAATTATTTCTGTGTTGGGACGGTCGAGATTTTAAGTCGTTTGGAATGACAGAGCTTCTCAGGTGAAATCCTGTCTTGGGAGCATTACTATTTTACTAGGGGTAAACTAGTTACACAGTAATGCTGTCAAGCATTTAGAAGCTATAATAGCTTAGCAACAGAGTGACGTAGTAACGCTTTTTATTTAGACCATTGGTCTACCTCGCCGCCTCCCCAAGTAGCTCTTGCTGTCCTAGCACTTTGCTCCACATGCTTTTTGCTGTTTGTTTCAATGAAAAAAAATCTCCCTCATTTCCTCCTCCTCCTATTTCTATTAGTGAGCGTGTAAACGCTGAGCAGGGTGCCCGACAAGGTACAGTGGAGCTCAGTTGTAATGGTTGGGAACCCAACCCAGCTCTCTCCTAAAACAAAACTTCTGGGTCACCCGGTCACTGCCGCTGTCCTTTCCTGTACTTGTATAAGGCATGCATTTTATTGCAATGAATGGTGTCCATGTGGAGTCCCCTGGGTTAGTGGTTAGCGCTCTTGCCTCGCAAATGAGAGGACCCAGGTTCGATTTTTGGGCAGGACGAAGCCTTAGACAAGTTTCCTTACACCACATGCCTCGGTTTAGGTCAGAACTCGGTTGTTAGTCGATTGGTGGATTGCTTTCCGGGGGTAATAATCCCTCAGAAAAAAATGTGGTCATTCAATCCACGACTGTTTGTGCGATGTAGCTGTGTGCAATTGGCTGCCGCATTTTGCTCACAAAATATAATAGTAACAACAAGATTACATTTGTATAGCGCCTTTTACGTCGGGAGGACGTCCCAAGGCGCTGGACAGAGTACAGCATTTCAGACCCAAATTATTATATATAATAATAATCCTTGCACTTGAAATAGCTCTTTATCACATGATTCAGACGTCTCAAAAGTGTGGAGTAAGGAAACTTGCCTCAGATCTCACCCTGCCTGGGAATCAAACCCGGGTCCTCTTGTTTCCGAGGTGATTGCTTTATCAACTACGCTATATGACTCCCAAGAAAATACACAGTGAATTCACTTTACATTGTATCCTGTGAAGCACTCTGAGAGGTCTAAACGACATAATAAGGCGCTACATTATTATTATATTATTATGGTGCAGCCGCATTATAACCAAATTTGCTCTGCAAAGAAGAGCATGATAATGGGGCCCCACTGTGGAAAGTCGGTACATGTATATGGCACACTGAAATGCTAGGTAAACAGAGGTGTGCGGAGTAAGGAGAATTGAATTGAACCCTGGTCCTCTCGCTTGTGATGTGAGCATGCACTACACTGCAGGACTCTGCATGGATGTGACACTCCATTTGAACTGCAGTGGCATTTTAACATCGCTTTCATATCTCTTCACTTCCAGGAGAAAACAACTCAGGATCTGTGCTTATACACACATCAAGAAAGGTAAGCGGCACATTGTAACTTTATTGTTTACCCCCACCCTCATCCCTTAAAACCCTTATTTCCCCTGTGTGCGTGCGCGCTCACTCACTCAATCAATCGAGCATGTTAACTGCTGTGCTCGATTCAAAAGGTGGTGGGTTTAAGCCCCACCTCGGAAACTTTGAGTTCACAGTCTGGACTGACGCTACAGTTCGGTGCTGGAGGATCTCCACATTATCTGAGGTGCTGTCCTTCGGATGAGACGTTGAACCCAGATCCCGTCTGTGCTTGTTCAGGTGGACTTCGTGGACTTCCTCCCAAGATTCCGCAGCGCCATTGGGAAAAAAATAAGGAAATTTATCTCTCCCGGTGTTCTGGCATTCACCTACAAAACAATCACTCCACTTTACAGTAAATCTCGTGAAGTACTTTGAGACACCCTCCTGGTGTGAAAGGTGCTATGACAAATGCGAGGATTATTATTACATTTTATTTCATTAACATTATTTTTTCTGTGTTTATTGAATTAGCATAACTTTATTATCTTATTATTATGTTACTTCAGTTTAAATCACTCCGTAGAGGGGTCTCAATGATGTTAGAAGGCACTATATCAGATGTTGCAGCGATGATGATAGGAATTATGTTAGTTTCTCCCATTTTACAGCATATTCTGTGAAGCTCTTTGAGACGTCTTGAACACGATAGGGCTCTGTATCAAAGATGCATTGCCACGTACTTATATTATTATATTTCCACATAGTTATCTTTATTATTATTATTAACCCTCTCTGCTCTGTTTGCCTGCTCACCTCTTCCCGTCCCCCCATTGTCCCACTCTTTCCCTGCAACCGGCTCTAACTCTCCCCCTTCCACACCAACCCCCACCTCTCTCTCTCATCCCTCCCCTCCCCCCACAGTACCTGAAGCTGAAGAACTTTGGGGAGGAAGTGCGAGCTCACCTGGACCTGGATGGATTCCTGATGGGGACGGGGGTGATGTTGGACACGGCAGCCCCCTCCCTGGACCAGGTCCTGAGTGAGATGCTCACCCAGACCACCACTGAGAGCTCGAAGCCTGGCTCCGACTGTGACCAGCTCCTGGCAGCTCTCTTCACCGACTCAGAGGCCGTGCAGGACGGCAATGGTATGGGCTCTGGCGGGGTGGGGGGTGGGGAAGGCAGGGGAGTGGGAGGAACCTAATTGTTAGTCGATTAGCAAATTGCTTTCCAAGAGTAATAATCCCTCCAAAACAAGCAAACAAACAAAAAATGTGAACACACAATCTACGACTGTTTGTGGGACACTGCTGTGCATAATTGGCTGCCATGTTTCACCCACAAAATACACGGTCAATCCACTTTACAGTATATCCTGTGAAGCGCTTTAAGACGTCTCAACAACATGATGAGGCCCTATGTCAAGTGCAAGGATTATTATTATTATTTGTTTCTTTGGGAGTTTTGGGGGGTTTTGTTCCTGATGCAGAAACCTATCGTGCTTAAGAGAATCGAATGCCTTAGCATGTCCTTCCAGCATGAGAGACGCTTCATAATTGTTAACAGATTGAGAGTTCCACATGTGTATGCCAGTGACACATGGATATTTCGCTCTTTCTGGAATGGATGTGCTCTCTCTCTCTCACGCGCAATCTCTTCCTGGTAGGGATGCACCTTGCTTATCTAATCCCAGAGAATCGTAGGCACAGGTTGGCAAGAGCCAAAGCTTTGGGATTCCAGAGTGTGTGTTGGGGTAACTCCTGGAGTCTAAAACCGCAGAGCTTGCCAATGATACTGCTGTCTGGCAAGCTTTCCCGCCACTTGTCCAGCTAGGACCACCCTATCCATTACGGCTTTGGCTTGCAGTGTTTTCAGGAGCTGAGTGCGATGACTCCCAGCCCCCAGTGACTGGTTTGCCCTTCCAAGTACTGCTGATGAGCCAGACTGTGCTGTGATGTTATCAGCAGTGGCCTGGAATACTGCCTGGCTCAGGATCTGGACTAGAGACTGCTACAGAGAGCTGGCTCAATTCCGGCACTCCATTGCCAGGCATGCCACCTTCGAGCCAATTCAGGAGGATTAACAGGAGCTGAGTGGGGAGAATTCCAACAACTTGCATTTATGCAGCACCTTTCATGTCGGGCGGCATCTTGGAATGCTGAACTGGCGTCCTGCTTGTCCCTCGTCCCCTCCACTCCACCATCAGTGGCTGTGCTTTGGAACTCTCTCCCACAATCCCTCCACCTTGCCCCCTCATTCCCCTATTTCAGATCATGACTGAAGGCCATCCTCTTCGATCGTGCTTATGGTCACCTTCCCCCGGCTCGGCATCAGGTTCCATCACCGTTCAGCGCTCCAAGATGCTATCATGTGTGAACAGCGCTATGTTATTGTTGTTAACCAATAATACAAGTGTGTTGTGTTGTCCCAGTGCACCTTCTGTCAGACACTATTCAAGGAGTCTCCGCTACACCTACAGGCATCCAGTACCAGCAGTCCTGGATCTGCCTTACGTGAGTTTCAATGTCTCTTTCCATAAGTTGGGAGTCCTGGAGTCCTGTAGCATATTGGTTAGAGCATTCGCCTCCAAGCGAGAGGACCTGGGTTCAATTCCCAGGCAGGAAGAAACATTAGACACATTTCCTTACTCCACACACCTAGCAGTAAGTAGAAACATGTTTGTTAGTTGATTTGCAGATCGCTTTCCCTCAAAAAATATATAACAATTTGGTCGCTCAAACCCCGACTGTTTGTGGGACACTGATGTGCTGCATTTTGCCCACAAAACACATAGTCAATTCACTTTACAGTATATTCTGTGAAGTGCTTTGAGATGTCGAAGATGTGATAAGGCACTATATCAAATGCAAGGATTATTATTATTATTTTGGTGCTTCAACATAGTGTTGCATTGTCGGAGATGCCGTTCTTTGTAAATATGTAATATCTCTGGCCACCGTGTTCACACTGAATTTAACAGCGTATTTTTTTGAGCACTCACTTACCATGTACAGCTTGCACTTATACAGCACCTCTCAACTAAGATGAACGTCTCAAAGCTCTTAAGAGATTTGATAGTGGTTCACTTGGTGGCTGTTTGAAGGATGTTGGTGTGAGCAGATTGGCTTCTGCATTCTCCCACAAAACGCATAGTCACTCCACTTTACAGTATATCCTGTGAAGCGCTTTAGGATGTCATCCTGACGTGAAAGGCGCTGAACCAAATGTAAGGGTTATTATGATTATTAAATCAAAGTACCCTCCAGACTTGACTATGCTAATTCCCTGTTCGCCAGACTTCCTGACTCTTCCCTCCACAATTCAGAACTAAGCTCCGTGAGCTGATCACCCCCATGCTTGCCCAGCTCCACTGGCTCCCCGTCCCCCAGAGGATCGAGTTCAAGATCCTCGGCATCATTTTCAAAGCACCTTACTGCCTCTGCGACCTGCTAAAATTTTACCAACATGTTCACTCTCTCCACTCGGCGGGCACTACCCTGCTCCATACTTCAGCCTTTCTACCCCATCCTCTGGAACTCCATCCCAGAGCCACTCCGCCTGATTCCCTCCCTTGCCTCCTTCAAGGTTTGTCTCAGAACCAGTCTGTTAGTCTGTGCCTTTGTCATCCTCCCACTCCCAACCCCACCCCCTTGCCCTTGACTCGGGTGCAAACTCTTGACTGTCCAGTGCCTTGGGACGTCCTCCCGATGTGAAAAGCGCTATATACATACAATTTGTTGTTGTTGTCTGTGCCTGTTCAGGTGGATGTTAAAGATCCCACAGTGCTATTTGAAAAGACAACAAAATTTCTCCTGGTGTTCTGCACAATTATCCCCAGATAAAATTGGTCAACAACGACAACAATATTATGTTTGTATAGCACCTTTCACAAAGTCATTCAATGGCTGTTTGTGGGACATTGCTGTGTGCAAATTGGCTGCTGTGTTTGCCTACAAAATACACAGTTACTACACTCGACGTGAAAAGTGCTATATCAAACGTAAGGATTATTTTCTGTTCTAGAGGGAAAGAGCCCCAGTTTCCCAATCTCCCCATAAATAAATCAAATTAAATTTGTCCTCATAAGTATAACCTTGTTCTCTGCAGTGGTCTACAAAGACAAACTCCATCCATGTGACAATTGTAACCGCAGATCTCATTTTTCACCCCCTCCCATTTATGCCACATTGGTTGTTTAACCAGCACTGTGAGGTTGGGTGCTGGGCATTGTATAAACGTAAGCCACTGTCCAGCCTGACACTCTAGTTCAGTGCTGGGGGGAGTTACATTATTTTTAAGATTTATTATACTCGGTGGTGGAGCTGAAATCCTAGTCTACAATTTTACGGCAACAATAACTTGCATTTATATAGCGCTTTTCATGTCAGGGGAATGTCCCAAGGTGTTGGACAGTCAAGGGATTGCACCTGAGCTGCGGGCTGGAGTTGAGGGGGGAGGGGTCGGGAGAGGGAAGATGACCAAAGGTGTGGTCGAACAGGAAGGTCTTGAGATGGTCCTTGAAGGAGGCATGGGAAGAGGCAAGGTGGAGGGGCTCCAGGATTGAGTTCCAGAGGGTGGGGGCAGAAAGGATAAAAGCCTGACTGCCAATGCTGGAGCGAGTAGAGCAAGGGACGTGGAGCAGGCCAGGATTTGGAGGGATTTGAAGTTGGACATGAGGATCTTGAATTCGATCGATCCATTGGAGATGATGATCATAACCCGGGTGAGAGGGGAGAGGTTCTCCTTGTTAAGGATCTTTTAACCTCAACATTAACTTGACACTTGGGGAGAATGGTCTTCCATTCAGATCAACCAACCTGGAGCCTCATTCCTTTTCATTCACCCAAGGTCACGCTAACTAGGTGACTATCCAAACCAAACCTCCCCTAGCTCTTTGATTCGCATATGGAGGCACTTACTTAGTAAATGTATTTTTTTTACATTTACAGAGATTTTTGGGAACAATGTAGGCATTGAGCACAAAGAGACATCTGTTTGGCATATTCTCTTTCTTTTTCTCACACACACACATACATATATACACACACACATACAATTTCTTCTCTCTGTTTCTAGACAACCCAAATCCTCACTTAATGTGGGTTTTTTTTCCCCCTCCCTTTTTTTTGTCAAAAGTATTTTGTTGATTTGTTTTCCCACAAGGAGAAATTGATGATAATAAAGGCATCCTTGCATTTGATAGAGCGCCTTATCCCGTGGTTGAAATATCTCAAAGACAAACAACCTTCCGTTTTTGAATAACGTCACAGGATCTTTAACTTCTGCTTGGTTTAACATCTCATCTGTAGGACGGCGCATCCGACAATGCAAACCCCCAAACCCCCGCCCCCCCCAGCACTGCACTGGAGCCTCAGCCTGGACTGCTCAAAATCCCCACGTGGGGCTTTGTGGGAAGCACTCTAACCTCTGTGTCAGCAGGTTGTGGGTTCAAGCCACACGTTGGGGACTTTGAGCTCACAGTGACATGAAAAGGCACTGTATCAAATTGTTATTTATCGACACCTTCTTTTAAAATAGATCTACAGTGGCAACGATTCGGAGAAGTCGCGTGTGTATAAGCCGCTTAGAAAGGCCTCAGAACTGGGGTGAGAACTGCTGTGAAGTGCGGTTTGTGATATTGATCCTAACTCCAGCCAAAACGGTAATTTTCATGGCTGAAGGTGTTACTGCTCTGAACGTCGCTCTCTCCTTCTCTCACTCTCCCTCTCCCTCTCACTCTCTCCCTTTCCACCTCTTTGCTTCCCCCCCCCACACACAGCTCAGAGATGGGGAAACCCACGTGAGAGCGTGAGAAATCGGGTGGGTTTGCAAAATTGTCTTTAGGTCGAGGGTGTTGGGAATGTGGTACTCTGTGTGGTTAAGGCAGCGTCCTTCAATTAATTTCAAAGGGGAATAAATGCTTGAAACAAGGTGGGGAGGGGGTATTATGAATGGGTGCAGCGAGGGTTGGGGAGGAGGGAGGTGACCAGAAATTGGAATTAGACTGGGTGGCTCAGAAAGTCAATAACCTCACTGGTTTTCTCGAATTTCCTTTTGTCTTTTTTCTGCGCTGTAGCGTTATCACAATGGAGAGACGGTTAGACAAACCGGGGGCTCTTCAGTATCGAGGCAAGGTGTCACAGAGAGGTGTACAATTCCCATTGAGAAAGTTAAACCCAGAACAATGCATTTGAATGCACCCGTAGAGCAGAACAAGAGCACGCAGGTTTAGAGTTGCGAAGGGGGCAATTTCAGGACAGACACAACAGCTTGCATTTATATAGCGCCCTTCATGCAGTGTAGTCCCAGAGCGCTTAACCAGGAAGTGTTTCCATAAAAGGTATTTAACAAGTGAAACAGCTGCCAGGAAAGGTGGTTGAGGCCAGGACACTGGGACACATTTAAGAAATGGCTTGATGCTGTGATGGGAGTGGGGAGGGAACAGGAGGTAGGGTGGATGTATTGGAAGGGTGAGATCAGAGGAGCGAGGGAGGGGTTGGGGTCATTGACTCTTCCTGGCTTTGTTGTTCACACATTTCTTTCTTCATCCCTCGTCCCCCCTCCCCCACTACGACCACCACCGCCGCAAGTGCAGAAGACGACAAAAACTTCGAGCGAGGTTGGGAGAACCTTCGCCACCATGTTTTCTGACATCAACTTCCGTCAAAAGCTTCTGGAAGCGAAGACGGAAGAGGAGTTTAAAGAGGCCCTGCTCCTGCAGAGACACCTGCTCACAGTCATCCACACGGAACCGGGCATCAAAGAAAAGAAGAGTCTCAAAGAGGAGGAGGAGAAAACTCCACAGGTAACAGAGCAGCGTCCTTTACTCCGGCGCTGGATTCAGTCCATGCCTAGTACAGGAACTCCAACCGGTCATTCGTCACTAAGTGGCGAGGTCACATATGATCAAAAAAAACAAGAGGCAGGAGCAATAGAACTGTGTCGTTATTCAATCAAATTGAAAACGTCCTGCGGAGTAGTGGTTAGTTTGCTCGCCTCGAAAATCCACTTTATAATATAAAGTGAAGCACTTTGAGACGTCTCAATGACGTGAAACAATGCTATATCAAATACAAGGACTATAATTATTATTGTTATAAACAAAGCCAGGTGCACAAAGTATTTCATGCATCTGGAAATAAAAAAAGATATAGACTTTAATGTTAAACTGCCGAAAGTATTGCTCTTGCGTGTTGTTTTTATTGAGCTAGCCAGCTAGAGACGATCGACCGATTGGAGACTCCTGGTCTAGAAGCCATCAGCTTGGCTCAGTTGGTCATGTTTTCACCCCTGAGTCAGAATGTTGTGGGTCCAAACCCCCACATCAGGACTTTGAATTCTCATCATCTAGGCTGACGCTGCAATACAGTGTTGTGTGAGAGGGGGTGTGGGCTGCATTGTCGAAGATGCTGACCTTCAGATGAGACGTGAAACCAAGGTCCCATCTGCCTGTTCAGGTGGATGTTAAACTGTTATGTTCCTACAGCAGCAAAGTCCCACAAACAGCCATGAAGTGAGCAAGCAATTTTATCCGGGGGATTTTCAGCCAGGATACCCGGAGACAGAAACTCCTTCCTTTTTTCAAATACGTAGCTCTGTTGGATATTTAACATCCACCTGAACAGGCAGATAGGATCTTGGTTTAACGTGTGATATAAAAGACGGCACCTCCGACAATACAGCATTTTTCTCCCTCACCCCCCAGCACAACATTGTAGTATCAGCTGGACTGTATGAGCTCAAAGCCCTGACGTGGGGTTTGAACCCACAAACTTCTGACTCTGAGGCGAGAACACTACCCAGTGGCCTTAGTTTGCGTGTTGGCTTAAAATGTTCCTCTTGCTTCTCCCTCTATCTGATCTGTGGACTCCAACCTCCACCCCGCAACCCACCACCGAGAACCCAGCTGCCCCTGCAGATCTGGGTGGTACTGTTTCCCATTCCCTTAACTCCAGGTTAAAGACAAGTCAAAGTGCTTTGCGCATCAGCAGTTAATATCAACTCATCAAAACTTCACCAAGTAAGCAATAACTTACCAATTGCATTGCTGGCATATGGTTGAACTGCAAAAATGCTGCTGACTGCCAGTGAGGATATTTCTTTTGCACCTTCAGTCATGCTGACTGTCATTTTCATACCAAATATTTGACTTTGACAGGTGCCCTCAGGCTGCTTCCCATGGTCCTAGCCTTAAGCCCTGTTTAGGTGGGGAGGGGTGGAGATTGTGAAATGGGAGGCAATGATAGGTGGGGAGTTTGACTGGAGCTGCGTAACTTTTGCACTGTAAGGCAGGTGTGCTAAGGCAGGGGGCAGGAAGCCCAGAGAGTGCTTGAAACCCCACTTATCCCCCCCCCCGCCCACTCCCCCGGTAGATAATCATGAGTTGGCCCTTAATATTGAAGTTCCCCCCTGCCCCCATGGTGAAAACATTCACTATTAATTTGGAAGCCAATCCAGCCTCCACATTAAGACTTGAATCTAAAGGTTTCCACAGTTTTGTGGGGAGGAATGGAGGGAGCAGTTTCCGATGGCAATATTAAATGAAGGATTCTGGACTAAAAATTGTCAATTTTCACCTTATTTTTGTGATTAAACTACTGGAATTCTTTGGAATAATTAAAGGTGAAATGGTTTATATGACCTTGTTAAATGATTCATATGACCTCGTAAAGTTTACATGGTCATCTGGACCTGGAAGGGAAATTAGCCTCCAAAAGACTTGGATTAAACGTCTGTTGTGTGGAAGAATTTTATGTTCTGGTTTTTATTCAAGAGAAAAATATCTTTTTTTTCTCCTCTCTTTTTCTCTCTCTGCCAATATTGTGTGCCAGCTTGGCTCAGGCAGTTGCACAGAAACATAAGAATAGGAGGAAGCCATTCAGTCCCTCAAGCCTATTCCTCCATTCTATTAGATCATGGCTGATCTATACCTGAACTCCATTTATCTGCCTTTGCTCCATATCCCTTTATGCACTGACCTAACAAAAATCTATTCACCTCAGTTTTGAAAATGTGAATGGATCCAGCACCCACAGCCTTTTGGAGAAAGTAGCAGTCTTCTCTCGAGTTAGGTTGGGGGTTCAAGCTCCTATATCAGAACTTTTCATGCAAAACACTTTAAACTAAATCCTGTGAATCGCTTTCATATGTCTTCCTGATGTGAAAGGCACTGTATCAAATATAAGTTTTTTTGAAAAATATATCTACGTGCATTTATTTATATCATATCGAAACGTCTTGAAGGGTTTCACAGGATACGAGTTCATGATATATTTGAGCTCACAGTCGAGGCCGCTCGACAGAAATTTACGGCCAGAGGAAGGCTGTTCGGTCCATCATTTCAGTGCCGGCTCTTTTAAGAGCAATCCTTTCACTTCCATTTACAACACTCCTCGGAGGTGCTGTCCTTTGGATGAGATATTAAACCTAGACATTGAACCAACTGTGCCTGTTCAGGTTGTGTCCTGTAGCGGAGTGGTTAGAGTACTCGCCTCGCAAATGAGAGGACCTGGATTTGATTCCTGGCAGGGTGAAATGTTGGGCGAGTTTCCTTATTCCACAGGCCTCTGTTTACCCAGCAGTAAGTAAGTTTCGCCCACAAAATATACAGTCAATTCACTTTACAGCATATTGTGTGAAGCGTTTTGAGACGTCTCAACAATGTGATAAGGCGCTATATCAAGTGCAAAGATTATTATTACATGAAAGATCCAGCAGCACTGCTTGAAAATCCCTGAGAAGCAGAGTTTTTCCTGGTTTCCTGGCCACTGATTTCTCCCCTTAATAAAAAGGCTCATTCACTTCACACTCAGGATGAGCTTACAGACAAGTTGACATCTCCGGCAGTCGATAAGGTTTTTTTATTTTAACTCGTCTCCGGTTGCGGTGGTTGTTCTGTTGTTAGCAACTGAGTTGCAGTCTTTATTCGGTGGACTCTGGCCTGCTCCATGTGTCCTGTCCTGCCCGCTCCATCATCGGTGGTCAGGCCTTCAACCTCTCTGCCCCACTCTCCGCCTCGACCCCTCCCTTTCCTCCTTCAATGCCCCTCTCAAAACCTTCGGTCACCCTCCTACCCCCAGCCTCCCTGCCATCCACACCTCCTGATGCCAACTCCTAGTTCGGGTGCGAATCCTGCCTGTCCAGGGCTTTGAGTCGTCATCCTGACGTGAAAGGTGATATACAAATGTAATTTGTTATTGTTGTTGTTGTTGTTCTCTAGCTTGTGGACTTTGTGCGTATTGGGCGGGGTATGGCGGACGACATGCTTCGCCGGCTCCCTTTGTACCTCTCTGATTACACGGATGGTGAGTGCTGTTTTTTTTTCCTGATTGGCAGGTTGTCTGACTCACGCGGAAACCCATCGCTGTGCTTGATAGTCTCCAAATCAGCCAGAGTTCTAGATACCTGTGTCGCCTACGCTTTGGAAATTGGACTGTGTCGTGCACACTCGCTCCCCCCCCCGGCGTGATCATGGTGTCCAGTGGTGTTGTGTGGAGTCCCGTAGGGTAGTGGTTAGCATGCTTCACTGCGAGGAGATGCTGGATTTCCTTGAATCCAAGATCAAGGGAATTTGCTCCGCGGTCACTTCTCCTCCAACATCCACCAACCCCCCACCCCCTCACTCCCACACTCCGACTGCTACCCATCCTCCCCTACTCACTTTTGTACCCGTTTCCCCACCCTCTGTCACCAAACTCATCCTATCCCTGAAACCAACCACCTGCTCCCTTGACCCCATCCCCACTCCACTCCTTATCTCCCAGCTCCACTTTCTTGCCCCACATATCACCGACATCGTCAACCTGTCCCTCTCCTCTGGCTCTGTCCCCATTCCCTTAAAAACTGCCACCATCACGCCCACCCTGAAAAAACCCTCCCTTGATGCGTCGCAGCTATCAAGCTACCGGCCCATCTCCAACCTCCCCTTTCTCTCCAAGGTCCTGGAAAGAGTTGTCGCCTCCCAACTGCGCTCTTTCCTTTCCACCCATTCACTTTTCGAACCCCTTCAGTCAGGTTTCCGTGCTGCCCATAGCACAGAAACTGCCCTGGTCAAGGTCACCAATGATATCCTGACCATCTGTGACCAGGGCTCCCTCTGCCTCCTCGTCCTCCTCGACCTATCGGCAGCATTCGATACGGTCGACCACGCTATCCTACTCCACCGCTTGTCCTCCCACCTCAACCTTCAAGGCACTGTCCTTGAGTGGTTTAGGTCGTACCTTTCTCACCGTCTTCACTTTGTCTCAACAAATGGCTTCTCCTCCACCCCCCGCACTGTCTCATGTGGTGTCCCTCAGGGCTCTGTCCTCGGTCCCCTCCTCTTCACCCTCTATATGCTCCCCCTCGGTGACATCATCCGCAGACATGGAGTTAACTTCCACATGTATGCGGATGACACCCAACTCTACCTTTCCTCCTCTACTCTCAACTCCACGACCACCGATGTCCTGACAGCTGCCTGTCCGACATCGAGTCCTGGACGAGAGACAACTTTCTTCAGCTCAACGTGCGAAAAACCGAGGCCCTCCTGATTGGCTCACGTCAGCGCCTCCGCACCTCAGGCGCTGACACCATCAGCATCCAAGGCTGCACTCTCCACCTCTCAAAGCCAGTCAGGAACCTCGGGGTTTTGTTCGACCCTGAGCTGTCCTTTCTCCCTCACATCCGCACCACAACTGGCACCGCCTTCCATCACCTCCGGAACATCGCCAGACTACGGCACTACCTCACCCCTCACGCTGCTGAAACCCTGGTCCACGCCTTTGTCACCTCAAGGCTGGACTATGGGAACTCTCTCCTCGCCGGCCTTCCCGCCACCTCCCTCCACAAGCTGCAGGTCATTCAGAACTCTGCAGCTCGTGTACTGTCCCGCACCAGGCTTCGGGACCACATCACTCCCACCCTCGCTCGCCTCCACTGGCTCCCCATCCCCCAGAGGATTGATTTCAAGATCCTCATCCTCACCTACAAGGCCATTCACGGCCTTGCTCCCTCCTACCTCTCAGACCTACTATCCCCCTACCTACCTGCCCGTACCCTCCGTTCCTCCGGCTCCGGTCTGCTCCACGTCCCCCGCCCCAATCGCCCTACCATCGGTGGTCGGGCCTTCAGCCTCTCAGCCCCCAGGCTCTGGAACTCCATCCCCCAGTGCCTTCGCCGCCTCCTCCCTCTCCTCCTTCAAGGCCGGTCTCAAAACCTTTCTCTTTGACCGAGCCTTCAGCTCCCCTCTCGACTCTCTTCCCCTGCTCGGGTCCTGACCCAACTGTGCAGCGCCTTGGGACGTCCTCCTGACGTGAAAGGCGCTTTATAAAGGGAATCTTGTTGTTGTTGTTGTTGTTGCTTGGCTTGCAAGCGATAGGAGCCGAGTTCGATTCCCGGGCTGGGCGAAACCTTAGGCAAGTTTCTTTACTCCACACGCCTCTACTTACTAGCAATAAGTAGGAACCTGGTTGTTGGACAATTAGCGGATCACTTTCCAGGGGAAATAATCCCTTCGAAAAAACAATTGGTTACTCAACCCATGACTGTTTATGGGACACTGCTGTGCACAATTATCTGCTGCATTTCGCCCACAAAATATACAGTCAATTCACTTTACAGTTTATTCTGTGAAGTGTTTTAAGACATCTCAATGACATGATAGGGCACTATATCAAATGCAAGGATTATTATTATTATGTGGTTTTAGAATAACAAGGGGAACTGACCTGCTTTATAGTGGATCACACCTCTCTTATCTACAAAATAGGAGGTGGGCGGAAGAGAAAAAGCCAATGATTACCTCCCTCCTTCTCCCTTACTGGGTGTACAACCCCACCACAGCGAAATGCACTAAGATGTGGCATACGTGAAGGACGTATATAAAAATCAGCTGGAAGCACTCTCTCCTTTGAGACGTCCTCCTGATGTGAAAGGCGCTGTATCAAATGTAAGGATTATAACTGTCTGATTGTAGGTATCATCGGGAGCAATAAAGCCATTCGCAAGATCATCACCACCATCCTGTTTCTCTACTGTATCTGTTTGCTACCGACAATAGCTTTTGGAACCTTAAATGATGAGAACACCAGAGGGGCGATCGGTAAGATATTAAACACTTGTCGTCTTCTTCTGACCCAAATTTTCACTTGTTAAGTTCTCACTTGAAATAGCCGAGCTCACACCGTCCAGCCTGACGCTCCAGTGGGAACGCTGCATTGTCTGAGGTGCCATCCTTCGTGAAACCGAGACCCTGTCTGTGCCTGTTCAGGTGGATGTAAAAGATCCTATCGTGCTATTTGAAAAGAGAAGAGAGCTTATCTTTCCAGGTGTCCTGGCCGACAATTCCTCAAATAAAACTGGTCATTCACTTCACGACTGTTTGTGGGATGTTGCTGTGAGCGAATTTGCTGCCACGTTCAAAATACAGTCACTACACTTTAAAATAAAATCCCGTGAAGCACTTGTCAGGTGTTTCAGTGTTAAAGATGCTACATCAAATGCAAGGATATTATTATAATAAACACTGGTTATTTTTCACCAAAACTCATGAGAATAAATAACAATAGCTCTGAATCCCACTAAATACATGAAATATGAACTTTCCAATAATAGTATGTTGTTAATAATAATCCTTGCATTTTTCACGTCTCAAAGAGCGTCACAGGGATTTTATGGGGTAGATGCAATACCTTCTCTTCTCTGTTTTTCTCTCTTTCTTGTTCTTTCTCTCTATCTCTCCCTCTCACTTTGTACTTCTGCCTTTCTCTTTCTTGCCCACTCACATTCTCTCTTGCTTGCCTACTTCTTCTCATTCGTTCCTGCTTTAAAATTAACAACTGAAGTTTACCTAGCAGTAAGTAGGTTGTTAATCAATTGGCAGATCATTTTCTGGGGATAACCATCCCTTCAAAAAAATAATAATTTGGTCATTCAATCCACGACTGTTTGTTGGACACTGCTGTGTGCAATTGGCTGCCACGTTTTGCCCCCAAAATATAGTCAATTCACTTTACAGTATATTCTGTGAAGCGCTTTGAGATGTCTCAACGACGTGATAAGGCCGTATATCAAATGCAAGAAATATTATTGTTACTACATTCCTGCTTTAAAGTTGACCACTAAAGCAAAGAGTCTTGCTCTGCCTCTCTTCCCTGGGAGTTGGCCACGGAGCGGATGACAATGGTTCTGTGTGAGGGGAATCAGCATTCCCCAGAGACAGTCCAAACCTCCGCAATTTCATTTCCAGATGTGCAGAAAACTATTCTTGCCCAATGTATTGGCGGCATCTGCTACGCGATCTTGGCCGGCCAGCCGATGGGTATAGTATTAACAACAGCACCGCTGGCTCTCTACATCCATGGTAAGTAGACTCCAAGCTGGCTACAAGTTAACATGTTTGGCAATGGAATATCAGAGTCTCTCAACCATCTGTGTTGGTCTCTCAAAGAGTACGCAAATTGGCTACCGGGTTCACCTAGAATACCCATTCACCACATTGGGAACCGCTGTGAGGTGTCATTCTGATGTGAAAGGCTCTATGTCGAGTCCAATTATTATTTTGTTATGAAGAGAGGGGAACAGGAGAGGGGAAGACTCGTATTAAGTATAAATACCGGCACAAATTGGTTGAGCTGAACTGCCTGTTTCATATGGTTCTGTGTAATTCTAAGAATGGTGACAGATCCAAGTCCGACCATACTGTGCTGCCCTTGAGACTCGTTTTGTTATGGGAACCCTCGACCATCGACCTTCCTCTTCTCCCCTCCCCAGTAATCCGAGACATCTGCGATGACTATGAGCTAAATTTCTACGCCTTCTACGCCTGCGTGGGCCTGTGGAACAGTTTCTTTTGCGTCATCTACGGTGTCGCTAATTTAAGTTTGCTGAAATCGTTTTTCAAAAGGTAAGCAGTCTTCATTGTCAAGCTGTCTAGTCGATTGGCAGATTGCTTTTCCAGGGGTGACAGTTCGCTCAAAATAAATAAATAAATGATAATAATTTGGTCACTCTATATACGACTGTTTGTAGGAAACTGCTGTGCGCAATTGGCTACTGCGTTTCACCCACAAAATATACTTTCAGTTCAGATCCGGATTTGAGTTCCAGTGCAGTGTTGGGGGTCAGCGTCACATTGTCAGAAACAGCGTCCTTCACATGAGATGTTGAACTGAGTTTCTGTGCCCTGTTTCAGGTGGATGCTAAAAATCCTGGGGCACTATTTGAAAAGAGAATGAAGTTTCTCCTGCTGTTATCCAGGCTGACAATCCCCTAGATTTAAAAATAAATAGTCATTCACTTCAAGGCTGTTTGTGAGATGTTGGTGTGCGCAAATTGGCTGCTGGGTTCGCTTACTCAATACACGTCATGTGTCTTATCATGTCGTCGTGATGTCTCAAAGCCCTTCACAAAATATATTTTGGGGGCAAAATACAGCAGCCAATTGTGCACAGTAGTGTCCTACGAACAGTCGTGGATTGAATGACCAATTTTTTTTGAGGGGATTATTACACCCAGAAAGCGATCTGCCAATCGACTAACAACCGGGTTCCTATTTACTGCTAGGTAAACAGAGGCGTGTGGAGTAGGGAAATTTGCCTAAGATTTTGCCCTACCCGAGACTCAAACCTAGGTCCTCTCGCTTGTGACCACTACGCTGCAGGACTCCACACATACAAGTTGTTGTTGTTTGAGTTCCAGTTGAATAATGAACTCTGTCTCTCTCACAGGTCGACGGATGAAATCCTGGCCGTATTCATATCCATTGCCTTTGTGGTGGACGCTTGTAAAGGCATGGCCACAAGTAAGTTTGTAAAGAGGCTCGAAGGGATTCTGCCATGGACCTTTATGAAGCTCCCTCGTCCTGCATCCCTACACACACTTCCGCCTTCCCCCACCTCCCCCTCTCTCCCCTGTCTCCATGCACCTCTTTTTCTTGTCTGTATATAACTTTTGGGGATATACGTTACTTGTGTGTGTGCATGTGTGTGTTTGTATGTGCACATGCATGTCTGTATATAATTTAGTTTGCATTGTGTGCAAGTGGTGTGTGTCTGTGCATGTGTATGTATATAATTTTCGTTTGCGTGTGTTTTCAGTTTTCGAGGAATTTTACCACGATGGTGACTTGGTGTCACTGAATAACTCCATCTCAGATTTCAACACAAGCTTCTTGCACAACAGCTCGACCCTCGACCCGCAGACTGTGAGATGTGGGCGAGAGACAGCTGTGCTCAGCCTGATGCTGATGCTGGGAACCCTGTGGCTTGGCTACACTCTGTATCAGTTCAGGAAAAGGTACTTGTCTCAAACTCCTTCTCCTTCCCTTCCCACCCTAACCCATGTTCCTTTTCCTTTCATGGAGTCCTGTAATGTATTGGTTAGAGCACTCACCTCGCAAGCGAGCGGACTTGGGTTTGACTACAGCAGGGTGAAACCTTAGGCAAGTTTCCTTACTCCATAAGTCTCTGTTTACCTATCAGTAAGTCGGAACCTGGTTGTTAGTCGATTGGCGGATATAAAAAAATTAATAACTATTTGGTCAGTCAATTGTGGGACACCACTGCGTGCAATTGGCTGCTGCTTTTTGCCCACAAAGCATACAGTCAATTCACTTTACGGTGTATCTGTGAAGAGCTTTGAGATGTCTGAACGACACGATATCAAATGCAAGGATTATTATACAATTATAACTCCACTCTTCCTCCCCTACCCCTCCCTGGGCAAGCAAGTTTAGTGGTGGTGACATTGGGGTATGGAGGAAAGGGCAGGTAAATGGGACTGAAAAGACTGCTCTTTAAAAGCATACACACGATGGGCCTTCTTCTGTGCTGTACACTGACCTGTCTGCTCCCTCCTCTCAGCGGGCTCCAGGACGCTACCTGGCATGAAGGGCGCTACAAGTTGTTGTTGCTCCATGTCCCCTGTCCTGCTCCCCCTACCATTGGCGGTTGTGCCTTCACCTTTCTGCCCTCACCCTGTGGAACTCCATCCCACAGTCCCTTAGCCTGCCCCCCCACTCTCTTGCCTCCTTTAAGGTCTGTGTCAAGACCTTCCTCTTCAAACGTGTCTTTGGTCACCCTCCAGCCCACACCCTCCCTGCCCCCCCACCTCTCCTGATCCTGACCCCCAGCTCGGGTCCAAATCCTTGACTATCCAGGGCCTTGGGATGACCTCCCAATGTGAAAGACACTCTACAAATCTAATTTGTTGTTCTTGTACATTTCTTGTTGACTTGTACTAAAAACCCTCATGATTTAAAGACCTTGATCAGGTCACTGCTCAACCTTTATATTCTTTGTAATGATTATATATTTTTTTCCACACGCATACAGCCCGTTTCTACATGCCAGGGCCCGGGAAACTCTGTCAGACTGTGCCTTACCCATATCTGTGGTGGTGCTCTCCTTTGTTGGAACCTACATATTTCGAGACATAAAAGGTAGGTTTTCCTCTCACTTTACCTGGTGAAACCAGCACTTCACTCTGTCTGGGTCACATCTTACCAGGAAGTACCAAATAATAAATAATAATCCTTGCAGGAGTCCAGTAGCATAGCACGCTCACATCACAAGCAAATGGCTCCAGGTTCGATTCCCGGGCAGGGTGAAACCTTAGTCAAGTTTACTTACTCCACACTTGGTCCCTCAATCCACGACTGTTTGCAGGACTCTGCTGTGTGCAATGGGCTGCCGCGTTTCACCTGCAAAATACGGTCAATTCACTTTACAGTATATTCTGTGAAGCACTGTGAGTGTTGAAATCACAGTATAGGCTGGTGGGGGAAGAGGGGTTTGCAATGTTTGATGAGCTATCCTTCAGATGAGACATTAATACTGAGCTCCCCATCTGTGCCCTGTTTAAGTGGATTTTAAAGATCTTGTGGTGCTGAATGAAAAGGGAAGGGAGTTTCTCCCGGTATCCTGGCCAATAATCCCCAGAATTTTTGTGGCTGTTTGTAGGACATTGGCTGCCACATTACCCACAAGAAACACAGTCTACAATGTACATTGTACAATGAAAGGATTATTATTATTACAGTGAATCCTGTGAAGCGCTTTGAGACATCAACCGATTGAAAGGCAAATGTAAGATTATTATTAATATGAAAGGTGCTGTATAAATATAAGCTGTTGTTGAGTTGTATAGGAGTCATGTGGAGTAGTGGTTAGAGCACTCGCCTCGTAAGCAAGAGGACCCAGGTTTGATTCCCGGTGGGACGAAACCTTAGGCAAGTTTCCTTACTCGACACACCTCTGTTTACCCAGCAGTAAGTAGGAACCCGGTTGTTAGTTGATTGGCAAATCTCTTTCCGGGGCTAATAATACCTTCAATAAATAAATAAGTAATTCGGTCACTCAACCCATGGTCTCAATCCATTCGGTCACTCAGTTGTATTGTGCGCAGTTCTCTTCCACGTTTCACCCAAAAAATATACAGTCAATCCATTTTACAGTATATCCTGTGAAGCACTTTGATTTGATAAGGCGCTATATCAAATGCAAGGATTGTTATAATTGTTGTTGTATGTGTTTGGAGTATTGAAGGGATGGGTGGTTTTAAGCCTTGCTGCTACTTGTGTTTACTACCCTGTGTGTTTTGGCTGTTTTGTCTTCCAGTTGCCACCTTTAGTTATAATCCGTCCCAGAGCCTGTTTAACCTCGCCCCCTTTCACTTGCTCTCGGTGGGGGCGATATTTGGTGGGATGGGGCTCGGCTTCCTTCTCTCGCTGCTCTTCTACCTGGAACAAAACATTGTGATGTCGTTGACTAATGCGCCCCACCACAGGTAAAACCTTACAGAGGGATTGTTTTAAGTGCTCTGGAATGCTACCCTGCGCAAGGAGCACTATATAAATGCAAGTTATTGTTGTTTTATCGGCTGTCTACCACACATGGAAATCCTTTGCCTTGTTTAAGACTATCCAAACCAGACTGAGAGAGTTCTGCATGTGCCCCACATAAAGGGCGCTAGTTGTTGTTGTTGCTGTATGTGGATACTACTACATATGGAAATTTCCCCATATCTGGAATGGAATGTACAGTCTCTCTTTCTCTCTCTCTCAGCCCCGGCGGGCCACACCCTGCTTCCCTAATTCCATAGGATACTAGGTGCAGGATGGCAAGAGCCAAGAGTATGTATTGAGGTAACAGCTGTAATCTAACCAGATAAAGCCACGTAGCTTGCCATTGAATCCCAGCACCTTGGGACGTCCTCCCGATATAAAAAGCACTATACCAATGTAATTAGTTGCTGTTGTTGTTGAAAGCATTGTCTGGCAAGCTTTCCCACTGCTTGTCCAGCTAGGACCACCATTAGGTCTTTTGTTGCCAGACATGTCATCTCAGAGCCAGTTCAGCTCCAAGGAGACGGGACTGTGTGAAATGCTTTGAGATGTGAATCCAATGCAAGGTTTGCTATTCATTCCACTTGGTCTGAGCGAGTGTTGTTTTGGCAGGTTAGTGAAGGGCACGGGCTATCACTGGGACATCTTCCTGGTGGGAATCATCAACATTGTGACCTCCATCTTTGGCTTACCCTGGGTGCACTCTGCCTTCCCACACTCCCCCCTGCATGTCCGGGCACTGGCCTACATGGAGATTAGAGTGGAGAACGGACATCTGTATGAGACGTGAGTTTAATGCTAGCAGCAAAGCAAATATGTGACTATTATACTGAAGGCATGTGTGTCTGCATATGTCTTATAGTGAGGACGCATGCGTGTGTGTGTGTGTGTGTGTCAGTGTTATACTGAAGCTGTGTTTGTGTGTGAATGTTATACTGAAGCCGTGTTTGTGTGTGAATGTTATACTGAGGCCGTGTTTGTGTGTGAGTGTTATGCTTAGGCTGTGTTTGTGTGTGAGTATTACACTGAGGTCGTGTGTGTGTGTGATATTATATTGCGGCCATGTGTGTGTGAGTATTTACTGAGGCCGTGTTTGTGTGTGTGAGTGTTATATTGAGGTCATGTGTGTGTTTCAGTGTCAGTGTTATACTGAAGCTGTGTGAGTGTTATAGTGAGGTTGTTAGTTCAGGGATTGGCAGTTGGGGGTTGAGCATTTAGCATTGTGGGTGAAGACGCCTTGGCTCACTGCTCTTTTCTCCCATCTCTCAGGATTGTGCGAGTGAGGGAGACCAGGGTGGCGACACTCGTAGCTCACATCATGGTGGGTGTCTCTCTGCTTCTCCTGCCCATCCCTCTCCAGTGGATCCCGAAACCAGTGCTGTACGGGCTCTTCCTCTATGTGTCTCTCACTTCCATCGATGGATGTCAGTTCTTTGAGAGACTGGCTCTCCTCCTCACAGAGCAGGTGAGGGAATGGGTGGGGGGGAAATTAAGCAGCAGAGTTGAAGAAATATGACCTCAAAGTCCAGGTTGATGCTCTAGTGCAGTGATAGGGGGAGGGAGCTCTGTATTGTTGAGGTGCCATCTTTCGGATTAGTTATTATAATAATAATTCTTGTATTTGATATAACGCCTTATCACATTGTTGAGATGTCTCAAAGTGCTTCACAAAATATTCTGTAAAGTGAATTGACTGTATATTTTGTGGCTGAAACGCAGCAGCCTATTGTGTTTTCACAGTATCTTATCTCTGGGTGAGAATTACACGCTCCTTCCAGGTGCACTCTGAAAGGAATGATCCTTCTCTTCTCTAATTACTATTAGAGTACATGCCCAGTCAGAGCGCTCTCACAAAATACCCCCAACACTTGGCTTTTAATAAAATGTTTCTTATTTATTCAAACCCATATACTTCAATATATATATTTCCGCATTCGACCCAAAAATAACAAACACAATTCTTATATAACACTTTGATAATATTATATTAATCTAACTTTAACAAAGACTGATATCCCATACTTTATAAGATATCTAACCACTGAGCCTCATCACTTGGACCACCAGGGGTAAACAAAGAGAGTAACTTTACCCCTCACATCTCTTCTAAGTTCCTGAGATTCAGAGCTTTTAGAATTAGTGATATTAAAGTCAAGTGTTGGTTAAAACTCCCCCCAAAACTCAACAACTGTCTTATAACTCCACTCTCTCTCTTTTATACCTCAAATGTGCCCCGTGTGACTTTTGTACCCAATCAATTCTCTGTACTTTGACCCACTCAACTCCTAATTGACGAAGAATGACCTCCTTCAATAAATCCTTCCTAACTTAGGAAACATAAAACTCATTAACTCAACTGTTGCTTCAACTATCGAAGACTGCCGACAGGACCATAAAATCATTAACTAACAAAAAAGCCATAAACCAAAAGCACTTAACCAACATTTTTTACACCTTAAAAGAGATAAACAGATTTAACAAAAAAGCCATAAACCGAAAGCACTTAACCAACATTTTTTACACCTTAAAAGAGATAAACAGATTGGTTTCTCAACCTAACAGATTCAACAGACTATCAGGCTCTGAACGCCTGTTACCCCTCTCCATGAACCCAAATATTCACCCTCTTATCCCTTTACTACCTCACAGCACACAGCAGTGTCCCATAAACAGTCATTATTATTGGATTTTTTTGAGGGATTATTATCCCCGGAAAACCGGGCTGCCAATTGACTAACAACCAGGTTCATTCTCACTGCTAGGTAAATAGAGGCGTGTGGAGTTACAGTATATTCTATTTCACCCTGCCGGGAATCGAACCCAGATCTCTCGCTTGCGAGACGAGCGCTCTAACCACTGAGCTGTAGGACTCCCAAGATCCTGCGGTGCTATTTAAAAAGAGAAAGGAGTTTCTCTCTCACTGTGTTCTGGCTGATAGTCCTCCAGATAACATTAATTACTCACAACGTGGCTATTTTGTAAATTGGTTGCCACATTCGCCTACAAATACACAGTCATTACCCTTCACAGTCAAACCCTGAGAAAGGCTTTGAGATGTCCTCCTGACAAGAAAGGAACTGTATCAGTTGAGTCCAACTCAGCATTTCCAGCTTCCTGAGGAGTCCTGTAGTGTAGTGGTTAGCGCACTCGCCTCGCAAGTGAGAGGCCCCGGGTTCGATTCACTTTACAGTATATTCTATGAACAACAACAAATTACATTTGCATTTACATTTACACATACGCCTTTCACATCGGAAGGACATCCCAAGGAGCTGGACAGTCAAGGATTTGGACCTCAGCTGGGGGTTGGGATCAGGAGGGGTGGAGGACAGGGAGTTAGGGGTAGGAAGGTGTCCAAAGGCATGGTCGAGGAGGAAGGTCTTGAGATGGGCCTTGAAGGAGGCAAAGGAGGGGGTAAGGCAAAGGGACTGTGGGATGGAGTTCCAAAGGGTGGGGGCAGAAAGGCTGAAGGCCCGACTGCCGATAGTGGGGTGGGACGGGTGAAGAGCTGTGAGACGTCTCAATGACATGATGAGATATTATATCAAATGCAAGGATTATTATCATTTATTCAAGGCATCTCAACAACATGGTGAGGCGCTGTGTCAAACAGGAGGATTATTATTTCTTAAATATAGAAGTGTGTGTGTGTGTGTGTGGGAGCGGAAATGCTGTACGCTGTCCAGCACCTTGGGACGTCCTCCCGACATGAAAGGCTCTACACAAATGTAATCTTCTTGTTGTTGTGGTGGTGGTGATTGGACCACAGGCTACAGATAATCCTGAACTCTGCAGCCCGTGTCCTCTCCCGCACCAAACTCCGTAACCCCATCACCCCCATTCTCGCCCGACTCCATTGGCTCCCTATCCTTCAGAGATCCAGTTCAAGATCCTGGTCCTCACATACAAAGCCCTCCATGGCTTCAGCCCACCCTACCTCCCCAACCTCCTAACCCCCTACCAATCCACCCGCTCCCTCCGCTCAGCCGGCTGTGGCGTGCTCCATGTCCCACAACCCACCTGCCTCACCATTGGCGGGAGAGCCTTCAGCCACTCTGCACCAACTTCTGGAATTCCATCCCCCAGTCACTCCGCCTCACCCCCTCCTTAGCCTCCTTCAAGTCCTGCCTCAAGACCCTCCTCTTCGACCATGCCATCGGCCAACCTTCTTCCCCTCCCTTCCCTTTCCCCCCCCCGACCCTAGCTCGGGTCTGCAATGCTGTACACTGTCCAGCGCCTTGGGTAGTCCTCCCGATGTGAAAGGCGCTATACAAATGTAATCTTGCTGTTATTGTAAATGGATAGCTTTCCACGGGTCTCTTGGGGAAACCTTGCCCTGACACCCTGTGTGTTTCTCTTGTGTTACAGACATCCTACCCTCCCACCCACTACCTACGGAGGGTTCCCCAGAGGCAGATCCACTACTTCACAGGCCTGCAGATCATCGAGCTGCTTATACTGTGTGGCTTTGGCATGGCTCCCCTGCCCTACATGAAGATGATATTCCCTCCCATCATGCTGGCAATGGTGCCCATCAGGTTAGTCCACCCCCTGCCCCAGGGCCACGCATTGACTGACTCAGCCGCAAGTCAATCACCACCGGTCTCAGCCTCATAGAATCAAACAATCTTACAGCACAGAAGGAGGCCATTCGGCCAGCCCATCGTTCCTGTGCTGGCTCTTATTCCATAGCCGTGTAGTTTTTTTCTTTCCAAGTACCTATCCAATTCCCTTTTGAAAGCTGCTATCGAATCTGCTTCCAACTGTGAGATCATATTTCTTCTACCCCCCCTCTCTTGTTCATTTCCCACCCTCACTGCTCCCCACTCCCATCCCCCCACACTTTCCTTCACCTGCTCTGTGAGGAGAAGGGCCAATCTCAACGAATGGCAGTCATTAATACTTTCGTCTCTGAAATGCCTTTCAGCCATTCTAACTCTCTCTCCACCCCACCCCGCAACCCCGCAAATCTCTGGAACTCCACCCTGGAGTCCCTCTGATTCTCTCTTTCTCTCTCTCTCTCTCTCTTCTCATTCAAGGCGTACCTCAAGACCTACCTCTTTGACTGTGTTTTCCATCACTGTCCCGCTCGGGTGCCCAACTGCTGTGTTTCACTCCCAAAATACAGTCAATCCGCTTTACAGTATATTCTGTGAAGCGCTTTTGAGACATCTCAATGACATGATATGGAACTGTATCAAATGCAAGCATTATTATTATATCAAATGCAAGTATTATTCTTGAATGATGAATCTTTATTTTTTCCCATCTCTGTGGAAACATAGGTGCTATTTACTTCCAAAGATAATTGAGGCCAAGTATCTAGATGCAATGGATTCTGAGCACTAGAGATGGTTGGAGACTGAGCGCTAGAGATGACTGGAGACTGAGTCGTGGAGAGATGACTGGAGACTGCTGAGAACCATGGTGGGTGGGTGTGGGGCAGGGTGGGGCAGGAGGAGTTGCTGTATGTCACTGCCCGAGCTACTGGGGCAGAAGTGTCAGAGAGCATCAAATTGACTGGACCAGAGGATTGCCCGAGCTTCACCCAACTTGCGAGATAACCAATGTCCTTCGTCTCATTCATCTATTTTATATATAATATATATGTGTGCGTGTATACTTCAGATATCCCTCTTGAAGGGACAGGTTATACGTCGGAGGGTATCCAATTGCTTTTATGTTAAAGCCTCCCTCTCAATCACTTTCCCACCTCTCGACATCACTTGACAAGACTTCACGTTATTTGGCATTCGGCCTTTGGGATGTTTCTGCTTATGATTTAGGCTGCTTCCAGCTCTGAGTTTGGCTTTCCGAACTTAGTCTTTGTCCCTCCCCGTTCTGTCACATGGCCTCTTCCCTGCGCCCTTCGCTCCATTAACGCATTTTGTTCTCTGCCTTCTGTTCTCCGCGATTGCTAATGTTTTTAAATTCCATGATTTGTGATCTTCAGAAAATGGAAATCTCAATTACCACGTGCACCACGGTCTGTGAATATCTTCATTAGGCGTCTGTGTGTGTGTATGTTTGTACACCTATATGGGAGTGTCTACATATACACTGAGGCTTTCTTGAGTACATCTGTCTGTCCGTCTGTACGCCCATAACTCTATAACTTGTATGTATCTACCTGCCTGCCTATATGTGTATACGCATCTGTGTATATATATCTCTGTGGGTACACGCATATTTGTGTGTGTACGTTTGTGTGTCCACACATGTATGTCTGTCTATCTGTATAAATCACAGAGCTGACTGGTTGAGGTTGGAGCTATTGAATGTAATTGAGCTGGGCTGGCGATGGAGAGCACAGGGACGTATCATATCTGAGACCTGAGGGGTTGAAGACATCGCACTTGGCATTATTCGTATTCCATTCCCCTCAAAACCTCCTGGTGTCTTGTCTCCTGACTTTCCGTTCCCCTCTCAGGCGCACGGACATTCCTGTTCGTTTGTCTGATATGTGGGAAGAGAATCGTGCTTAATTGCGCCATCTTCTTTGAAGCTCTGAAGCTCTAAACAGTATCGTTCCTGAGATTCAACCTAGTCTTAGCGTGTGAGACCATTTGGCCTCTGTATTTAAGGCGGCACGGAAGGGTGGGAAAAGTCTCAATACCGGACTTGATTTGGGAAACAGTTTCTTTCTTTTAACAAAAAATGTGTTAAAACTGACCACCAGGTTAACCCTGGAAAAGCATTTTTGTTCACGGTTCCGTGCATTCTGTTAAATTAATTTGGGCGATGGGTTAAGACTAGGCGGAATTTGGGGCTTCTGGTTCCAAAAGTTGTTTGGCGGTTTATCGTGGATTGAACGCCTTGATCAATGTATCATCGGCCTATTGTGTTTTTTTTAGTTTATTATTGTATTTTGTGTGGCATAGTAATCGACTTCCCTTTAAAGCGAATAACTAAATGCAAAGTGAAACATTCCTACCAGTAAATGGAAATTAAAACCAAAAGTTTTAAAAAAAAAGTTTTGGTTGTCTTTTCTCTCTCTCCCGCTTTTAATAATATTAATAATCCTTGCATCCTACAGTCCTGTAGCTCAGTCGTTAGAGCACTCGTTTTGCAAGTGAGAGACCTGAGTTCAATTCCAGGCAGAGGGCGAAACCTTGGGCAAGTTTCCTTACTCCACACAGAGCCTAATAATAATCCCTCCACAACCAAAAACAATAATAAATTGGTCATTTTCAATCTACGACTGTTTGTGGGACATTGCTGTGCGCAATTGGCTGCCGCGTTCGCCCACAAATATACAGTCAATTCACTTTACAGTGTGTTCTGTGAAGCGCTTTGGGACGTCCTCCCGACGTGAAAAGCGCTATATCAAATGCAACGATTATTATTATTATTTGATATAGCACCTTATCACATCGTTGAGACGTCTCAAAGCGCTTCACAGAATATACTGTAAAGTGAATTGACTGTATAATTTGTGGAGGAAATCCAGCAGCCAATTGCGCACAGCAGTGTCCCACAAATAGTCGTGGATTGCGGGACTCATTTTTTTAAAAGCATATTTAAATGTATTATTACCCCTGGAAAGCGATTTGCCAATCAACTAACAACCAGGTTCCTACTTCCTGCCAGTTAAACAGAGGGGTGTGGAGTAAGGAAACTTGCGTAAGGTTTGGCCCTGTCCGGGAATCGAACCCGGGTTCCTCTCACTTGTGAGAGGACCACTTCACTACTGGACTCACTTCCCCACCCCACACCCACTTGGGTTAATAGTATTTTGCTTAAATGGTACGAGGTGAGGTGTGGGGGAGTGGGGGGGGGAGTCAGGCAGAGGGCTATTTAGATGCATATTTCTTAAATAGGGAATAGGGTGGATTTTCTGTACTTGCCTCTTGGTGGCGCTGTCGACCCTCCAGCATATTGTGTTCGGCGGCACCACCTTCAGGCAGACGGTGGTACTGCTGCCATTGCTTCAATCAACAACAATAAAATTACATTTGTAATTTTCACGTCGGGACGACGTCCAAAGGCACTGATCAATCAACATCACAATAGCGATTGTTGCATTTAGTGTCCACATGATTGACTGTAAAGTGCAGGGGCTGTGTTTTGTGTGCAAATGTGATTTGCACTTAGAAATGTTCCACGAACACTGAATCACCGATTTTATTTGGGGGATTGTTGGCCAGGACACTGGAAAAGGGAAACTTCCCCCTTTCAAATAGTGCCGTGGGATCTTTAACATCCACCTGAACAGGTAGCCTGGACTTTGGTTGAACGTCTCATCTGAAGGACAATTCCTCTGACGGTATTGCTCCCCCAGCGCCGCACTGGAACATCAGTTTAGTTGATATAAATTCCAAGTTCTAATATGGGGCTGGAACCCGAAACCTTCCGACTCCGAGGCGAGAGTGCTACTGACTGAGACGGGTGTCTCTCCAAAGTGGTGGGGCGGAAGGGGAGGTGACTGTGGACATGGTCCAAGAGGTGGGATTTGAAGAGAGGGCGAGGCAGTGGGGTAGAGGCATGGAATTCCAGAGGTTTGGAGCGTAGCAGAACATAAGAACGTAAGAATTAGGAGCAGGAGTAGGCCATTCGGCCCCTCGAGCCTGCCCCACCATTCAATAAGATCATGGCTGATCTTCAGACCTTACTCTAATTACCTGCCCTATCCCCATATCCCCTAATCCCTCTGTTTTTTTAAAAAATCTATGTCTCAGCCTTGAAGATGTTCAAGCTTGGATGTTCAAGCTGAAAGCTTGGCCACCAATAATAATATGAGGACCATACAGCCAACTTGGGTTAATTAAAATAATAAATAATAATAATCCTTGCATTTGATATCATAGAATCATAGAATATTAAAGCAAAGAAGGAGGCCATTCGGCCCATTGTGCCTGTGCTGGCTCTTTGGAAGAGCTTTCCCAATCAGTCCCTCTCCTCTGCTCTTTCCTCATACCCCTGAAACTTTTTCCTTTTCAAGTACCTATCCAATTCCCAGCGCTTCCTTGAGATGTCTCAAAGTGCTTCACAGAATATACTGTAAAGTGTAGTGATTGTGTGCTTCATAATCAAGCATAGGACATGAGCAAGAGGCCAGATAGGAAAAGATAAGAGAGATAGGGAGGTGCTAGGCCATTGAGGGATTTACAGTTGATCTGTTGGGAACTGGAGAGAGCCAATGGAGCTTGACGAGGAATGGAGGCGATGGGTGTGTGGAGTTTCGAGTGGGTGAGAAAGCAGGATTGTATCTTGCAAATAACTTTCCCTTGACAAAATCTGTTCATTGACAGATATTAGGTTCCAAGATGTCATGTTGTCTTGCTCATTCTTGGCAAGACAACATGATATCAATCCTCTCACCTCGCAAGTGAGGACCCGGGTTTGATTCCCGTGCAGGGGAAAACCTTAGGTAAGTTTCTTTACTCCACATGTTTCCCGAGCAGTAAGTAGGAACCCAGTTGATAGTCAATTCACGGATAGATTTCCGGGGATAATAATCCTCTGCAAAAAAAATGTGGTCACTCAATCCACAACTGTTTGTGGGACACTGCTGTGTTGAATTAGCTGTGGCAATTCACAAAAAAATAGTCAGTCCACTTTACAATATATTTGGTGAAGCGATTTGAGAAGTCTCAACGATGTGATAGGGTTTTATATCAAATGCAAGGATTATTATGCAAGGATTGGCGTGGGTGAGAAAGCAGGATTGTATCCTGTGAAGAACTTTCCTTTGACAAAATCTGTTCATTGACAAATATTAGGTTCCAAGCTATCACATTGTGAGCTACAGTGTGAATCCTGTAGCTCAGTGGTTAGAGCACTTGCTTTGCAAGAGAGAGACTTGGGTTCAATTCCCGGCAGTGCAAAACCTTGGGCAAGTTTCCTTACTCCACACGCCTAATAATAATCCCTCAAAAAAATAATAATAAATTGGTCATTTCAATCTACGACTGTTTGTGGGACATTGCTATGCGCAATTGGCTGCTGCATTTCGCCCACAAATATACAGTCAATTCACTTTAGTCTATTCTGTGAAGCACTTTGAGATGTCTAGAAGATGTGAAAAACGCTTTATCAAATGCAAGAATTATTATTATCATTGTCCTGTCCCCCCTCTACCCCTTTTGTTGTGCATCATTAACACCTCTTTAACCCATCATCCCCTGTCCTCTACCCCATTTTCTCCTTTGTCTTCCTTGCCCTCCCTCCCAACATGCCCCAGTTCTGACCAAGGGTCGTGGACCTGAAACATTGACTCACTTTCCTTTCTCCATAGATGCTGCCTGACCTGCTGAGTGTTCCCAGAGACTTCTGTTTTTGTTTTTAGATTTCCAGCATCTGCAGTATTTTGTGTTTTGTAAGGATTATTATTATTAATGCTCATTGCAATTGGTAATGTCTCCTTTTCCAAACATATTTAATGTTTAATGAACTAGAAGTAGACTTTTGGTGATGAATAAATTACAGTGTGCTCTGTCATATTTCCTCTCCTTCAAATCACAGTTTCATTTATTTCTATCCCCCCACCCCACGATTTTTTTTAAAATTGACGTACTCCATAGTGATGGTTACAAGATATTTTGAGAATGCAAATCATGTCCTTCAGCTCAGCTCATTCAGTAGCACTATCACCTTTGAGTCAGAAGAACTTTGTGGGTTTACGCCACATGACAGGACTTTGCGGATGTTACTAGAGCATTGCTTGGCACAAATTAGCTGCCACTTTTGTCCACAGAATACACAACCACTGCACTTTGTGTGTCAGCCTGGCTTAATGGTAGCACTTCCGCTTCAGAGTCAGAAGATTGTGCGTTCAAACCCCAAGTCGGGACATGGAATCACAGAGTCTAAGCTGACACTCCAGTGCAGTGTTGTGGGTTCAATGCTTTGTTGTAGGTGCCATCCTTCGGATGAGATGTTAAACCGAGGTCCCGTCTGCCTGTTGAGGTGGACTTAAAAGATCTTGTGACACTATTCGAAAAGAGAAGAGAGTTTCTCCCTCACTGTGTTCTGGCCAACAATCCCAAAATAAAATTGGTCACTCACTCCATGGCTGTTTGTGGGACATTATTTTGTGCAAACTGGCTGCCACTTTGTGCCCACAAATACACAGTATATCCTGTGAACCTCTTTGAGACATCTTGTCGACGTGATAAGGTGCTGTATCAAATGCAAGGATTATTATTCATTATTATTATTAACAAAATCCTTTGAAGCGCTTTGAGATGTATTGGCGATGTGGTTAAGCTTCACGATTATTATTATCCTGACTGTGTCTGTGAAAGCTCTTTGATCCCACTTGGAGGGGCACTGTGAGCACTGCTGGGCTTGTTGTTGTTCTATTTATACAGAAGACGCTGCAGAAATAGTGGAAAAGAACTCAATGGAAGAGGACATACTTTCCCCAAATCCGAGTCCTTAATCTTAATCTGGAATAGCATTCTGTGTGCGTGTGTGGAAGAGAGAGAGGAGACACAAACAGGAGAAAAAGAGGGGAGAGAGAGACTGAGAGAGAGAGGTGAGAGCAAGGAGAGAGGGAGGAAAGAAAAAGAGGGGAGAGAGAGACTGACAGGAGAGAAAGAGGGGAGAGAAAAAGAGCCAGAGAGGGGAAAGAGAAAGGAGAGAGAGAAGGGAGAGAAGAAAAAGAAAGAGAGAGTGAGGAAGGAGAAAGGGAGAGAGGAAAAAGAAAGACAGAGAAAGACTAGAAATATGGGAACCAGAAAAATCATTTATTGAGTGCTAGATACATAATGAGCTTTGCGTTTGATATTGCCTTGCATTTAAGGCACCAAATTCAATGTCAAAATGAAAGGTCCTGTTCAGGTGGTTGTTGAAGATCCCATGACGTTATTTGAAAAAAAAGAAAGGAAGTTTCTCCAGTGTTTTGGTCAACAGACCACCAAAATAAAATTGGTCATTCACTTTATGGCTGTTTGCGGGACATTGTTATGGCACTTGTGCTGCCATGTTTTCCTACAAATCCACCGTCACCTTATTTCACAATAAATCCTGTAAAGCACTTTAAGACGTCCTCCTAACATGATAAGGTACTGTACCAAATGCAGGGATTGTTATTATAGGCAAACTAGGCAGCTGCCTTGGGCGGCCGAATGTAGTCTCAGCTCTGGCTGTTTGGGAAGTCGGGGATGGGTGGAGCAAAATTGCCCCGGGTTGGCTCAGGATTGGGCTAGGTCGCCGTCAATAATAATAATAATCCTTGCATTTGATATAGTGCTTTTCATGTCTTCTAGATGTCTCAAAGCATTTCACACAATAGACTGTAAAGTGAATTGACTGTATACTTGTGGGCGAAACATGGCAGCCAATTGCTCACAGCAGTGTCTCACAGACAGTCATGGATTGAAGTGACCAATTTTTTTTTTCTTGTGGGATTATTATCAGATGTGTGAAGTAAGGAAACTTGCCCAAGGTTTCGCCCTGCCGGGAATAGAACCCAGGTCTCTCGCTTGCAAGGTGAGTGCTCGAACCACTGAGCTACAGGACTCCATGATCAGACCTCAGGAAGCACCTGGATTAAAGTTGGGCAAATAAAAGGTGTGTCAGAGGTGTGGATTTGGTAACAAAGTGAGGAGTGGGTAAGGCAAGGTGCCAATGACACCACAACCAGGTTTGTGGGATTGTGTCAATAGGTGGTGGAAACTTGTTATATTGGGAGAGGGGGCATGTAAACATACTTATATAAAATAATAATCCTTAATTTTGATATAGCACCTTATCATGTCTTTGAGACATCTCAAAGTTCTTCACGGAATATACTGTAAAGTGAACTGCCTGTGTATTTTGTGGGCGAAACGTGGCAGCCAATTGAGCACCTCAGTGCCCCACAAACAGTAGGGGATTGAATGACCAAATTATTATTATTATATTTATTGAAGGGATTATTACCCTTGGAAAGTGATCCACCAATTGATCTAACAGAGGCGTGTGGAGTAAGGAAACTTGCCTAAGATTTTGCCCTGCCCAGGTCTTCGCTTGCGAAGTGAGTCCTCTAACCAAAAAGCTACAGGATTCCTCGAACAACCTTTGGACAGATTGGACCTCAGTTTACCATCTTGCTTGAAAATTGGCAACTTCGACAAAACAGTGCACCGTTGGAGAATTAGCCTAGACTATATGAGCTCAATGTCCTGACATTGTCCTGTCCGTTTAGTTTGCAATCTTCTGACTCAGAGTGCTACCGACCGAGCCAGGCTTGCACTTTACAGTACCTGTGTGAAATACAAGGACTGTTATTATTCTGCTAGTGAGAATTCTTTGTATGTTACTTTTCAGGTTACAGTGACAGTTTGTTGAAAGCAACGTCAATGGGAGAATGACTGTGAAGTACTCTTGGTGATGAGTTATGGCGAGCTGATTGCTTCTAAATCAGCTCTCACAAGACATACTCAACGTGAAATCTAACAGAACCTGTGTATTACACAGCCCCTTGCTGGTTCCAATCATCTGAACAACAATTTAGTGCAAGTTTCTGAAATGTTAACTGGAATAATTTCACCCACACTTTGGTTTTGAATAGAAATGTAACTAAGGATTGTGAGTAATAAACCTGGCTCAGTCGGTAGCACTCTCATGTCTGAGTCAGAAGGTTGGTGGGTTCAAACTCCCATGTGGGGACTTTGAGCTCACAGTTTAGGCTGATGCTTCAGTGCAGTGCTAGAGGGAGGGGGGTACAGTGCTGTATTATCAGACCTGTCATCTTTTGGATGAGATGTTGAATCGAGCTCCTGGTCTGTGCCCTGTAGAGATGGACATTAAAGATCCCACGGCGATATTGAAAAATAGAAGGTAGTTTCTCCCTTATAAACATTATTGGATTATCTTTGTCATTAAGTTCTTTTAATAAGTACCACAATTAAACTTGCATTTAATATTGGCTGCTGAGTTCATCCATAATATTCAGAGTCACATCACCTCACAGTGCATCCTGCGACCCATTCAGACATCTAAACAACGTGACAAGGTGCTTGTATCAACAAGGATTATTATAGTATATTATTGCATCATCAATACATATCAAAGTGCTTCACAGGATTTTACTGTAAAGTGCAGTGTGTGTATTTTGTGGGCGAATTTGGCAGACAATTTGCACACAGCAGTGTCCCACAAACAACTATAAAGTGAGTCACCGATTTTATCTGGGGTTTTTGTCGGCCAAGACACTAGGAGAGAGAAACTCTTCTCTTTTCCGATAGCACCGCGGGTTCTTTAACATTCACCTGAACAGGGAACAGATGGGGAGCTGGGTTTACTGTCTCATTCAAAGGACGGCACCTCTGACAATGCAACGCTCCCCCCGGCACTGAGCTGGAACATCAGCCTGGACTGTATGTGTGTTAAGTTCCCAATGTGGGAGGCTTGAACCTACAACCCTCTGACTCAGAAGTTGAGCCAGGCTGACACACAAATTATACATATATATATATATATGTGTGTGTGTGTATATTAAAACTCTTTTCTTACACAAAATAGAATCTTAGCTGGACTCAAACACAAATGATTTTTGTTCCTCTTTCTTTTTCTGGTCTGCAGCCCTGGTTTGTTTCAAACCTCATGAGGTGACTCTCAGACTGACTGTGTCGAGGTTCCCCCTATTGGTGTGTCTCAGATGGGGCTATAACCCCCTCCTCGCAGCTACAATGCGCTGTTAGCACTTCACAAGACATGTGTGTTAGTCCCCGAAGGGCTGGAGGGTCTATCAGCGCCAGGCTGGCTGACAAGCTGGATTTCTGCACACACTGTGCTGTGTGTTGTTAGATTTGGTCACAGATCCTGTGCGCACAGAGATGTGTAAATAATGCAGTTTATTTCGCTGGTTGGCAATGCGATGCGGTGTGTTTGGATCCCAGCTCAACTGCACATGCTGTCAGCAACCCCAGGACTCGCTGCTGCTTTGTGTGGTTTGTGTCTCCCTCAGTTGTCTGTCTCTCTCTCTCTCTCTCTCTCTCTGTCTCTGTCTCAGTGTCTCTGTGCGTGTCTCTAGTTATCTTATGTCTGTCTGTTTGTCTGTCTCAGTCTCGGTTTATGTGTGTGTGTGGTTGTCTATCTGTGTCTCCATCTGCCTCTCTCAGTGTGGTCTTTCTGTATCTCTAAGTCTCTGTCTCTCACTGTGTGTGTGTGTGTGTGGTCTCTGTATCTCTAAGTCTCTGTGTCTCTCACTGTGTGTGTGGTCTCTCTGTATCTCTAAGTCTCTGTCTCTCACTGTGTGTGTGTGTGTGGTCTCTCTGTATCTCTAAGTCTCTGTCTCTCACTGTGTGTGTGTGTGTGATCTTTATATCTCTTAAGTCTCTGTCTCTCACTGTGTGTGTGTGTGTATCTGTGTAGTCTCTATCTCTAAGTCTCTGTCTCTCACTGTGTGTGTGTGTGGTCTCTCTGTATCTCTAAGTCTCTGTGTCTCTCACTGTGTGTGTGTGTGTGATCTTCCTGTATCTCTCTGGCTGTCTGTGCGCAGAGCTTCAAATGAAGTGAAATGAACATGCAAGGGAGCAAGCGATCCCGCCCAACCTCCTAGACAACAGAACCGAGAGGATATCCATCCATTCCTGGTTCTCAGCATCTTCTCCCGAATAATCCCAGTACAGAGCAGCCCAGCCCAGTATACAGCAGCCCAATACAGAGTAGCCCAGTACAGAGCAGTACAGGCTAGCACAGAGCAGTACAGTATAGCTCAGTCCAGTACAGTACAGCACAGCCCAATACAGAGCAGTCCAGCCAAGTACAGTACAGCCCAGTACACAGCAGTCCAGTGCAGAACAGTTCAGCCCAGTACGGAGCAGTACAGTATAGCCCAGTACAGTCCAGCCCAATACAGAGCAGTCCAGTACAGAGCAGGCGAGAGAATGAGTGGATGGGAGAGTGAATGAGTGACTTGTGGTCTTGTTAAGTGAAACCTGACCTGTTGTGTTTGGACTTTGGGTTGGGTTGGAGGAGAGGGGGAAGTTTCTTTTCTCATCCGTCAGCTATGGTCCTACACTCCGACCTCATCATGTCCGGCTCCCGCTCTCTGGACGGCTGGGAGAGGTTACAACACCGCTCTCCACCCTTCCTCACCAGCAGCGCCAGGGTCTCATCTCACTCTCCAACCCCAATCTCAAACCCAACTCCTGGCCACGTTCTGGGCAACTCCAGCCTCACCAACTCAAGCGAGTGCGGGGAGGAGATCTTGTTGTATGGGGATGTGGAGAAGGTTGTGATTGGGTTGGTGCTGTCGGTCATTATCGTGTGGACAATCGCTGGTAACGGGCTGGTCATGGTGTCGGTGTGCAGCGTCAAGAAGCTACGGCAGCCCTCCAACTACCTGGTGGTGTCACTGGCGGCCGCTGATCTGTCGGTGGCGCTGGCCGTCATGCCCTTCGTCACCGTCACCGACCTGTTGGGTGGAGAGTGGCTGTTCGGAGAGGTCTTCTGCAACGTCTTCATCGCCATGGACGTCATGTGCTGCACGGCCTCCATCATGACCCTGTGCGTCATCAGCGTGGACAGGTGAGCAAAGAGCTTGACAGGTGCGGATATCAGGTCTGGCCCTCTGTCTCTCTTTGCACTTTTTCTCCATGTTTACATGAGGTGTCTCAATGACCTGATAAGGTGCTATATCAAGTGCAAGGATTATATGTCTGCTTCCTGCCTATGTGTAGATAGGTGATGCTGCTCAATGCACCAGTTGCAGATATGGGAACAGTGTGGATATCAGGTTGGGTACTCTCTTTTTCTCTGTGTTCATACGTCTCCTCCCTGTTTCTAAATGTGTGTGTGATCAGGTGAGGCTACTCAGTCCTCCAGTTGTGGATATGGGCATAGTGTGGATATGGGCACAGTGTGGATACGGGCACAGTGTGGATACGGGCACAGTGTGGATATGGGCACAGTGTGGATACGGGCACAGTGTGGATATGGGCACAGTGTCAATACGGGCACAGTGTGGATATGGGCACAGTGTGGATGTGGGGTCAGCTTGGAATGGGGACAGCGTGGAGTGAGGACAGGGTGAATGTGGGGACAGCGTGGATGTAGGGAGAGGGTGAATATGGGGATATGGAGACAGTGTGGATATGGGGATACTGTGGATATCAATGTGGTGATCCAAATCCAGCTCAGGTCCAAATCCCTGACTGTCCAGAGCCTTGGGATGTCCTCCCGACGTAAAAGGCACTACACAAATGTAATTTGTTGCTGCATGCAAATTCAAGAGGGAATTAGGGATCTGTTAGTTGAATAATTAAGTTGAGTGGAGACGAGCTATCCCCCTCATGCCTCTTAATTCAGAAATTATTTTTTAAAAAGAAAAATAATAATTTTTCTCCAGTCCTTTGTTTTATGATATTGAGTTTCTCTCTAATCTTGAAAGGGCAGAGCAGTCATTGGGGGCAGGGAATCCGCCCACTCAGTTCCTGTTAATCCTACAAGCCAATGCCTTGACGTCACCTCCCACTCGACTACTCAAACACCCTCTTCGCTGGTCTCCCCTGCTCCACTATTCACAAAATTCAACTAATTCAGAACTCCGCTGCCCGCATTCTCACCCGTAATAAGCTCCGTACCTCCATTACCTTGACAAACTCCATTGATTCCCGGTCAGAGAGCGGATTGATTTCAAGATCCTTACTCTAGTGTTTAAATCCCTCCACGCCCTTGAACCCCACTATCTCTCCAGCCTGCTCTCTCCTTACACTAGTACCCGCTGCCACTGCTTAACTGGCTCCAGCCTCCACTTTGTCCCCCCGGATCATCCGCCCCACTCAGCAACATGCTTTCAGCCATTATGCCCCAAACCCGTGGAAATCTCTCCCTCAATCCCTTTGCCTTGCCCTCTCTCCCCATTTTCAGGTCGCGCCTGAAGACCTTCCACTTCGATTGTGCCTATGGTCACCCTCCTCCCCATGGCTCGGCATTGGACTCTGCCACTGTTAAGCACTCCAAGACACCATCTATAGCACCACCGTAAAGGGTGCTATAGAAATAAAAGTTGTTGTACTTGTAGGGTTGTCCCAGCTGGACAAGCAGTAGGAAAGCTTGCCAGACAGCGATATCAATGGTAAGCCATGCGGTTTTAGCTGGTTAGACTCCAGGATACAATCATTCCCCAATACACACTCTGGAATCCCCAAGTCTTGCCAACCTGCACATAATACTTTGCGGAATTAGGTAATCAGGATATGTCCCTCCAGGAAGAGAGGAGCGCACATTCCGTTCCTACAATCTATCTCTGGGATTTCCATGTGTAGGTGGGATGCATGGGATTCTCAGTTTGGTTTGGATAGCCTGAAGCCTGGTGATTGGTTTCCGCATGTGCCAGAAACCTGGCTGACCAATGTTTTTTGTCTCGACAATGAATTATCTATCTTTCCTTACTCCCTTGCTCGCTCCCTCCCTCCTTCCTCTCTCCCCCCACCTTCTTTCCTCTCTCCCTCCCTCCCTTGCTTGCTCAGAGCAATGCTGTAAATTCTCTGATTGTAATCTCTATAAATTCAGATCTTGTCCATGGCAGCGGAGTAAGAGGAAGGGGGGAAGGGGGCTCAGCTCAGCAGTTTATTCCGAAGATGACTTTTCAAACCTCCCTCTAAGTCCTTTTGTGATTGCCTTTGGTTTATGTTCTCTGGTGAATTGATGTGAGCGAAGGGTTGCTGAGTGCAGTAATGAACCTCAGACCCAGGTTACAATGCCTTCTGCAGGACACACACTGAGCTTACCAGCCATGACAAAAAAGAAATGGTAGCCAGTGATGGCACATTGATTGGAATCAGTCTATGGCATGTTTCAGCATGTTTGTTAAGTGCCAGTCAGTAACACTTTTCCCTCAGGCAAGCTTAACAACAGCAACAAATTACTTTTATACAGCATACAAACACAGTAGTCGCTGGTTCCCCGATCTAGAGGAGACCAAACGTGGATTGGGTGACTACTTTGCTGAACATTTCCATTCAGTCCACCAAATGTAACCCTGAGCTTGCCGTTTTAATTCTCCTTCCCACTCCCACTGTGATCTCTCTATCCATGGCCTCCTACTCTGTTCGAACAATGCTCATTGTAAGCTCGAAGAACAGCACTTCATCCACGTCCTGGGCACCTTACAACCCTCTCGCTCAACATTGATTTCAACCACTTCAGACACTAACCACAGCTCCATCTTCTCTCAGCCTTGCCTCCCCCACTACCCCTCTTCTATAACAATTAAGGCATCCTCTGGTTATTAGACACATCTGTTCACTATATAATCTCCCTGTTGCTTTTGTCTTGCACTACAACAACAACAACTTGGATTTATATAGCGCCCTCCACGGCGGACAGCGCCTCAGAGCTCTTTACAGTAACGGATCCCGGGACCGAGCCAGGGGGAGGAGTGGGAAGGTGACCAAAGGCACGGTCGAAAAGAAAGATCTTCAGCAGAGACCTGAAAATGGGAAGGGAAGGAGCGAGACGAAAGGAGTGAGGAAGGCAGTTCCAGAGCCTTGGGGCATATTGGCTGAAGGCACGGCCACCGAGGGTGGAGTGGAGGACTCGGGACAAGGAGGAGGCCAGATCCGGAGGAACGAAGGCAACGGGTGCTGTTTTGAGGAGACAGGAGGTCAGAGAGGTAGTGGGGTGCAGAGAAGTGCAAGGACTTGAATACAAGGGTGAGGATCTTGAAATCGATCCTCTCTGGGATAGGCAGCCAGTGCAGTCTGGCAAGGACTGGGGTGATCGGGGAGCGGAGTTTCATGCCGGTGAGAATGCGAGCAGCAGAGTTCTGAATAAGTTGGATTTTATGGATGGTAGTGGACGGGAGACCGTCGAGGAAGGCGTTTGAATGGTCCAGCCGAGAGGTGACAAATGCGTGGACCAGAGTTTCAGCGGCTTTTGGGGAGAGATATTGGCAGAGACGGGCGATGCGTCGGAGGTGAAAGAAAGCGGTGCTGGTGAGGGACCGGATATGGGGGAGGAAGGATAATTGGGGGTCGAACCTGACGCCTTGGTTGCATACGGGTTCGGAGAGTTTTAAGGGGAGGTCGGGTAGGTGAAGGAGGTGAGAGCCGTGAGATTTTAGACGTTGACGAGAGCCGAAGAGTATGGCTTCCATCTTGTCAACGTTCAGCAGAAGGAAGTTTGCACTAATCCAGCCCCTGAGGTCTGACAGGCAGACTGACAGAACATCAGGGGACTGGGGGTTGCAAAGAGAGGTGGAAAAGTAGAGTTGGGTATCATCTGCATACATGTGGAAATGTACCACATGTCTGCGGATGACATCCCCAAGAGGAGCATGTAGATCAGAAAGAGGAGGGGGCCAAGGATGGATCCCTGGGGTACCCCGCAGATAACCGGGTGAGAGCGGGAGGAAAAGTCGTTTGTGAGATGTACTGCTGACGGTTTGTTAGGTAGGACTCGAACCAGGCGAGTGCGGTCCCACTGAGGTGGATGACAGAGGAAAGGCGGTGGAGGAGGATGGCGTGATCGACTGTGTTGCACACGGTGGAGAGGTCCAGGAGGACAAGGAGGCAGAGGGAGCCCTGGTCACAGATAGAGAGGATGTCGTTTGTGACTTTCACAAGCGCAGTCTCTGTACTGTGGGCAGGGGGGAAACTGGACTGGAGGGACTCAAAGAGGGAGTGGGGGGAGAGGTGTGCGCTAAGTTGGTTTGCAACAACACTTTCTAGAACTTTTGAGAGGAAGGGCAGGTTAGAGATAGGGTGGTAGTGGCTGAGGTTTGAGGGATCTAGGGAGGATTTTTTCAGGAGGAGGGTGATGACAGCAGTTTTGAGGGAGGCAGGGACTGATCCGGAGGCGAGGGACTGGTTGATAATGTCAGCCAGTAGTGGGCAGAGGAGGGGGAGCTGTGTGACCAGTGAGTTGGTGGGGAGGGGGTCGAGGCAGCAGATGGTGAGTTTCATGGAGGTGATGGTGGGTAAGAGGGAGGAGGGAGAGATGGTGAGGAAAGAGTGTAGAAAGGGGGTGGTGGTAGGAGCAGATGATGAGGAGGGTGAGGGGGCAGACAGGGCGTGGTGGAGGGTGACAAGGGGCAGGATGTTCAGTATTTTAGTTGAAAAGAAGTCCATGACCTCCTCGCACTTGGCATTTGATATGAAGATTGAGGAGGCCTGAGGGGGGCACGGAGTAGGTAGTGGGTGGTGGAAAAATGGATTTGGGGATTGTTTTTGGCCTCCAAGATGATGATGAAGTAGAAGCCGTTTTTGCTTGTGTCAAAAAACGGCGGTAGCTGTGGAGGTGCTCGAGCCACAGTTGGCGGTGAACTGTCAGGCCAGTTTTCCGCCATCTGCGCTCGAGCAGCCGGGTTTGGGTTTTTTGGCGGCGGAGATTGTTGTTGTACCAGGGGGATCGGGAGGGTTGGAGAGGGTCCTAGATTTTAGCGGAACGAGGGAGTTGAAAGTGGAGGAGAGGTGATCATGGAGCAACTGGACGGCTGCTTCAGGATCTCCGCGGGTGGAAGGCCAGACGGATAGGATGTTTGAAGATGAGAGGGCCTTTGTGAGGGTCTCAGGGGGTAGCCTTTT